GCTAGATCTGCGAAGTAGTCTCCGGTCAGACGCTAGACAATGCACTTCCAGTTGGTCAGGAGCGCGCCGCCCAGCTGCAATCTCCGTCTAAGATGGCTTGGCTTGGGACTTTGCTGACTTGAAGGTAAGATCTTTCGAGATGTGCCACCTACTGCCGGTAATGGCATTCATCACGGCCGATTCAGGCAGAATTCGTTTTGAACAGTCACCGTATCACAGCTGGCCACGCTCTACGGCAGTCTGCATAAGGCAGACTATATAGCTCAGTTGACAAGCCAGCCTCGAAGATCGCTCCACGCCACTTTCCATCGACTGGTCATCTCCATGTCGTCTTCGTCAGCCATCACCAGGTTTGGTTGAAGTGGCATCCTGGACGACTTCGCCTTCAGGTCAGAGTACCATATGGCCAAGCCATCCGCGTCGGTGAGTGAGAAGAGCACAGCTGGGGAGTTGAGGTCCACTCTGACTATGGAAGAGTTTAGTGGTGGCACAGTCTGATAGATGGATACGCAAAATAAAAGTCAAGCGTCATCGATTAAACCGATCTCAACGATAGGTATCTTCGGAGCGCATGGGTCATCTCCCACTCGTAAGAAAGGATTTTCTTAGCGGAAGTCTCCTATACCTGCAGCTACTTCCTCAAACCTTTCCTATGCAAATTCTAGAGACTTCAATGAAGGCAGCTCCGCCTGGTTGAGTGTGCGGAACGAGGTAGCAGAAGCTTTCAACTGATACAAGAGTCTCACAACATTGTGACCGGACATTTGTTAAAATATGGAGCGTTCATGCGCCAATAGCGCTTGTTCAGTTTGTTACGGGCCAGGTAACTCCCCAAAGAAGTGTCTATTCGCTTATGCTATTTGGCTGATACATCAATCTTCATAAATATGTCTGGACATCCTGTGGATGGAAATAGCGGGATTGGCATGCGTAGAAAGTCTCATCTACTAGACAACACATTTGGTGACTTCAGTTAGTTAGTTATGCGCTTCGGAACCTACTGTGTATGAAAATTATGATGAAGATGCGATAGTTGCTTCGGATTATTGACCCGAGTCAACTAAATGCCTAGTTGATAACGCACTTTTCAATAGTTATTGCACTGAACAAAAACAATCGCATGCTTTAACTATGAAATTAACACAGCTGTCCTTTAGAGGTAAAACAAGACGATTTTTACATGCGGACCAACATTTAAGTGCCCGCTTATTGGTGTCGGAACAAAGTGGCAATTTAAGGGCTCCTCTGTTTGGGCGCGCAAATCAGTGGGTCTTCGGATTTTGATACGGTGATTCCGACACGCTGTCATTCCGCCTAAAGTCCGCGCCCTGGCCGCAATCGGTTAGGACAGATGCCCACACTCTCGTGGTGCCCTCCCCCTAGGTTTGTACAGCGGTTACAAATACTAAACTTGCATAGAAACACCATCCACCCGATGTTGCATGTTTTTTAGAGGTCTCGGCGTCCTAACTCGATTTCCCTCCAAGCAGTAATCAGTCGTCTGCTAGCTAGTTGACGAGCCTTGCCCTTGCCTCCGTGGGTTAGAATCCCACCACGGTCGCAAAGGTTTTTACTACTGAATCTGCGTAATGTGGGTTTTTTGCTTAACGGCTAAGAACATGAGACAGACTTAACATAGTCCGTAAGTTGTTGCTTTTTAATTTCCTCAGAAATTAGCTACGAACTTGGAGTAGATCAGTATATTCTAGGTCTATAGGCTCAGACCGAAGTTTTTATGCATGAATATTTGGGCCGAAGTCCACCAGCACAGCGGCCAGCCGCGTAACGCTTATTAACCGCCGACAGGTAGTTAGTAGTATACTTTAGGGTGAAGGGATACCATACCAACAGCACGGGTATTAGCCAAAAGCCCATGCATGCTTGTTTCGCCGAATATTATGCGGTTAGTCGCTGTGGTTGATGGGCTTCGGCCCAAATATTCATACATCGAATTTTTGTCTGCGCCTATAGCCCCTAGTATAAACGGACCTACTCCAAGTTCGCAGTTAATTTCTGAGGAAATTAGAAAGTAACACCTCGTAAATTGGAGTATCTATCAGAAAGCAGACGGGGAATGCCGGGGGACCCACTGATGAGCCAGACCCCTCGCAGCTGTTTCATGCTGCGACAGAATATCGGCGAACCATGCGTGTATGGGCTTTTGGCTAATACCTGTGCAGTTGGTATGGTATCCCCTTACCCTAGAATAGTCCACAATCTTAACAATTAGTGTACATGCACCAAATTCCTTTTATTCACGTCCACTTCTTGTGTGCATCAGATCAAATGCTATCTGATACATGGATCCAATAAGCACTAAAACACCTTCGCAGGGCCCGCTTATAAACCCACTTTCTTCATGAATGGTCAGCCCATCCAGCAGGAAATCAAGACTTGCATGCAGGTCGAAAACCTCTCATCTGTTTAGAAAAAAAAACTGAGGAAAAGTGTAAAGGCAAAGAAAAGAGATTTGAGCACCATCACGGGATACTGGAGGCGAGAAGACGGGCAACAATCACAGGGGCAGGACCAGATTAGATATGCCAAGTTCTGAAGGCAGTTCCAGTTGTCCCAGCGGAACAGTACTGGCGCGATAGGGTACACTCAAGCTGATGGAATAACCCGTCTCGAGGAGGAGGGTGGACTGGTCCAGCTGGAGGCTGCCAAAGCTGACCCTGCTGGCCTCGCCGACACGCTGGGCCTTCAGACGGGTCTCTACGGCATGGAGGAAGGCGGGTGGCACGCGGGGTTCATAGCCGTCTACCGGGGTGTACATGGTTAGTAGCTTGATTATCTGCAAGGGAACGCGCAGGCAAAGGTCGGGTCAAAAATCGATAAGGAAACCAGTAAACGCCCTCAGCACGCGTAGCAGCGTGAAGTACCTTTGCAAAAAAGTAAGGGCAATCAAATCAGTGTCTCGGGTCTGACGGAAGGCGTCTTTGAGAAAACTGGTTCCGGATTCGTCTGGAAGTAAGAAAACTGATTAAAGATCCGGAAAATTACGTGCTACGATTCGCGTGTTACCTTTGGCTGTTGCACAGCCCTACTAATCAGACGCTGGGGGAAGTTCGGGCACTCGTAAATAATGTCATATGAACTGCTAACCTCCCACTACACCTGATTCCCTCTGCCGAATGCAGAAGGATTATCTACCCGGTCTAATGGATGGTGCGCTTTAACTGCTACCAAGTGTTATGAGGTCATAAATTCCAACCTCTGAGACCAGTGTGCTTCAACATCATCTGCAAGTCTTTCTGAAAAAGTACTGTCAGACATAAGTGCTACCATTAAGAGTGCGAATATGAAGAAACGAACAAGTCTGCAAAGGAAAAATGTGTTCTCTTGCCATTAAAACAATCAGAGAACTATTTATTCAAGACGAAATCTCTCTTCTGCCGAGCCGATTCGGTAACATGGATGAGACACCCATGAATTTTCTAGCCAAGCTGGAGGCAATTGACTACGTTATGGTGTGCCTAAGAAGACGTGCGACCGCAGTAAACGATATCAAATGAATAAGTAGAAGATTTGTGACTTCTGAAGCAGAACCCCACTGCCGTTCGTGTACTCACGAAGGAGAGCGTAGCTACTGTCGTCACGGTTAAGGCTAAATATTTAATCAAAATGAGCCGGACCCTTTATGACCATCAGAACTACATGCACCCTTTCTGTAGACACAACTGAGAAGTGGAGCATGTTTATGAAGAAATTGGCGGGCGGGATTACCTTGCTGGATAGGGTAAACTGTACCGACGCAAACTTCACGACCCTAGGTAACCATCACACTGTGGACAGGTGTGGTATCCCAAACGCGCATAAAAAGGGATATGACGCGAAAAATTTTGGCCCTCCCCCTCCAACCTCGCTTAGCGGTTGCGTCAGACGCCTGAAGCATCTGGCGAATTGATCCCTTCATGGCATTTGTAATTTGTGTGCACATTTCTCCAGGGGATTCAAGACCTACACGCGGGTCCTGGTGAGTAAATTTCTCCCCTTGATGTCGTTTTGATATCTTTAATATCCATGGGTTGGCCATGGAATGTGCATTTCGAAAATTGCAGGATGAGCCTATTAATATCCTACTGCAGCGCGCAATTACCTTGTCCAGACGCTGTCTTAAAAACGACAGCCAGTTTGACAGTTGATATTGCTGATACGTCAAGGGAGCGTAAATAGGTCCCACAAATCAGACATCCTTACCAAAGTAATTCTAAAGCGGTTAGGGAGAAAGTTTTCCTGTGGGTTAAACTGTCGTAATCAAGCGGCGTGAGTGTGTGCAGTCTGTGCGCTACCATCGTCGGGTCAAATCCTAGTGTTGTAAGGAGAAGACAGAATGCACCAGTTTGAGGGGTTTATTGTGCACAGAACTCGGAATTGTCCTCTCAGGCGACAGTGGCCACTGGCGAAGCCAGGGCTGGTGTTGACTGCGTCCAGTCATGCCTGAGCGTCTCTGAGATAGTGGTGGCAGCCGCTTTTGTAGGCTCGAGGGTCAAGCTCAAGTGGTGTCCAGTCAGCGTGTGTTGCATTTGACGAGGGGTGGTGTCCCAGTGGCTTGTTTTGCTGGTTGCAGGGGGTGGCGCGTTCAAGTGGCCGCATGGGCAGCTGCGACTGCGCGGACGCAGGTATGCCCGAGCTGTTGGTCGTGTGACTTCAGGTCAGCTCGTCTGGGACGGCTCGCTGCAAGGGGTGAATGACCTTGAGGCAGCGAGGTCTCGAACAATGACGCCATACCAGTAAGGATGGCTAGTCGCCACAAGACCACCAGTTTGCCTTCGCCACAACGATGATACCTTCGTCGCCATAAGCGAGAGGAAAAGCATCTCCACCAGATGTTGAATGGTATTTTCCCGCTCCTACAAGTAGCACGTGACGCGACCTTAACTGGCTGCGAGGCGCGTCGTTTACCGCATACCATGCGTTAACTGTTTTTGCGCACAGGTCGGTCATACAAGTTGATGTCCTGCGACTCGCCCACTAAAAGCATGTGACAGCTCAACCGTCGTGAACGAGCGCGTCCACCGTGTGTCCAACAGAGTAACGCAGGACGGTGCCTTAGGTGGGAATTAGTTTACCTTGGGACAGACTTGCGCAGCGTCAACCGCACTCCATCTTCCCTCTCTCCAGACTCCGATGGCAAAACAATGTTAAGATGACCGGAGGCCGGCTCAATTGCAGTGGTTGACAAAGCTAAACAGCCCGTCTACGCATTTTACACACGATCTGATCCTCAAACCACGCACCAGATTTTCGCAAATGAGATGACTCGGGTCTGCCGTGGGACCATATGCGTACTGTAATTAACAGCATTCGTAACCACAGTTGGGGTCGTGATTGATGCGATGGTGGCTTTTCAGTCCGCGTCCGAGTCGTTAATCGTCCGTGTTGGATGCTGGTATGATGATTGCACGGCAAATTGGCTCACTGTCACTGGGGTAATGGCTCGCCCGCGCCCTCCCCAGGTGACTGATCCGCCAGTCTCCGACGTATTAGTAGTAGTAGTAGTAGCAGTAGTAGTAGTAGTAGTAGTAGTAGTAGTAGTAGTAGTAGTAGTAGTAGTAGTAGTAGTAGAAGTAGTAGTAGTAGTAGTAGTAGTAGTAGTAGTAGTAGTAGTAGTAGTAGTAGTAGTAGTAGTAGTAGTAGTAGTAGTAGTAGTAGTAGTAGTAGTAGTAACTACGTCGGAGAAACTGGGCGATTACTCTGGACGCGAATTGCCGAGTACGCAGCAGCAGCAGCAGCAGCATCAGTGAGACGGGGAGACGCTAACTCCCAGGTGGCGGCTCATTCGACGAGACAAAGCCATATTTTCAAGTTTGAAGAGGCCGAAATCCTCGCCAGGGGTGACAACCGCGTGAGCCTCGAGCTACTCGAGTCATGGTTCTCAGGCCCTCCCGTTACCGTATTCCGTGCTGAGAGTTTCCCTGGGCAGGCGAATCAGTCACATAGGGAGGGAGCGGACGAGCAGTCATCCCAGTGACAGTGGGCCAATTTGACCAGCAGGCGTCACACCAGCACTCAACACGGATGACGAAATCGTGGCCATTTATGACTCGGACGCGGACTGACAAGCCACCGTCGCATCGATTACGACCCCAGCGGTGATTTCGAGAGCTGTTAATTACAGTACGCGTATGATCCCACGGTAGCCACGTCTTATAAATACTGCAGTCGTTGTCTGCGATTGCCTCTGATGATGGGTTCGAGTGAGAATTTGAAACGTCAGGCCAATAAATTTCTTGCTTCAGTGATCGCATCTTCGTCTTCTGAACTGCTACCTGGGACTCGCCTGTTCGCTTCTATCAGCGTGGCAGATTCATTATAGTGAGGAATGCGCTGATTTCCGTGAGGATTATTCCTCATTGTCAGCTTCTCTCTCCCTCTCCCTCTCTCCCTCCCTCTCTATCTCTCTCTATCTTCCCTTCAGCATGCGCCGGTGGACAGCCCGAGCCTGTGGATCAGCTGGTGCGAGGATTGGACACATTTAAGGCCTAAGTGTGTCACCAAACTCCCCCCCCATGTGTAGCTCGCGCGGAGTCCACACGGCCTGATTAACGCGTTCAGCGAGGTAATCGTATCGCCTTTTGGTTCAGAGCATTTGTGGCACATGCAGGCTCTTCGGCGACCTAACCTCCTGTCGCTCGTCTTTATGTATTTAGCGGAAGGGAACCGCCGCTTCGATCGGAATGTCATTGAGGCTATTGGCAGAATCCCACCAAACACCCGCGAGTTTCTCGGGGCTTATCACCCCAATGCTAGCAATATCAGTAACGGTGATGACTTCAATGTGCGCAATAGGGGTATACGGACGTAACTCGTCGGTTATTCCCTTCAAGGAAAGAATGGGTAGTGAGGGCGACATGTTATCCGCCCCTAACTGGGACCGCTATCCGCCATCCGATTCCTAGGAGGCATCGAGCGTACGCCTTCTATTCCTGCTCCTCACATTCGCAGCGTGGGATAATTGATCGTAGTGAATCGACTATCGTCGGGGGGGAGGGGGCGAACCGCACTTTCACTTCAGAAGTTCGCGAATGAATCACTGACGTATCGAACAACCCTCTTTTTTACTTTTACTTCTCAATCTGTACAACCGCAGAGTTATGGGCCGAAAACTTGTTGCCTAGAGCCGACAGTTGGTCAATTATGTGTTGAATACAACCCTCTCCGATGGAGCAACTTTCCTACTTCGATTTACTCTACCTGACTTTCTCTGTCAAAAAACCGTCCTCTCTCACTGCGAGTGTAGTAAATTAATCAGTATTTATGTACTACTGACTGCTGACGGACAGAATGTTAATATTACGCGGTTAACGCGCTGAAGCTGGCGGATTTCAGTCCAGATACTCCTATCAACTCGAGGACCGGGCCTGAGAAAGGTTGTCGTAGGATGTACTCCAAATTCGACTGGTTAATTTCTGTGGAAGTTAAGAAGTTCAACTTTAAATACAGGAGTGTGTATCAGAAGGGTCTTTGGGAAAAATAAGACGCAGGACGCATCCCAACTGTGTCATGCTTCTACATGAAGTCTGCAAAACACGTGTTCGGGCTTTTGACTAGTAGCACTGCTGCGAATATGGTAAATCAATCACTTTTCAAAAACGGCATATCGGCTCAACGAACCTGGGCCTCAGTGAGGTTTCGGCAGTTCTGGCAAATGGCCTCAACTGTCGCGTTGTCGGGGGAGCCCTTCTTCGATTGAAGTAATTGGCAGGCCTGAATCATCGGATTAAGAAGGTCCCTCAGAGGCTGCCCATCTTCCGGGAGTATATCTAAACCAACTGCAGTCTGCTTTGAACTCGATGGGTTTGGTTGAGGTCCAGATCTCTCTGGAACGAGCTCCTTCGCCGACAGCCAAGTCTCAAGATTAGCCAAATTGTACCTGTAAGATGGAGGAAAACATGTTTGTCGGAAACTGCCCAATTAGTCCCAATTGCTCCGGTAGAGAGATTTCTAAAGTGAAGTTTGCAGTCAGCACATACAGTCGGTAACCGTTCTCATGAAAATTTAAACGAAATTCTGGGATCGCTTTTGATTGGGAGGCACCTCAGAATGCTGGCTTTTTTGTTGATTGCGAAAATCTCCCTCGATAAAAAAATGACTGTTTAAGCAGAATCATCTTCCCCACTGATTTTTAACGCGTTTATGAATTCATACATATTTTGTAGGAAACATAATTAAAATATCCTTTTTAATACTCATTTTATAACGACCCACGTCTTCTTTAAACTTTAAATCCGACGAAAGGGCATAGTTAGGTTTTAAAGGGGTTCTTCGGTCCCGAAATTATTGTAGACCCGATCTTCCGTTGCATTTGCATATGGGCTTTGCACTCGGTCTAGGTCTTAAAAAGGTTTTTAGATTTCCGACCTATTTTGGACCCGATCTGATGTTGCATTTGTGATTCTGGTTTACAGTTTCGATGTAAGGAAAATCACGCATCAGTCAGTGCCATAAAGGAGTTATCATATGGGGCTCGTGAAATTGTTCAATGGGTTGGAAATATGTTCTATAATTCGTAAGAATTATTAGTAAACGTGTACATGCGACGCTATTTACAGGGGCATTTCATAACCTAAAAAGTCTACTAAGTACAAACTCTTTAAAACCGAGAGATGTTGTCTTCTCGAGCGTAATATTTCAAGACGCTGGTTTTTACCAAATAAGTAAAAGAAGGAATTTTGGCCAGTCTTTTTATAAAATACATTCGAATTTATGATGGCGTCGAAGATCGATGAAAAACGCATACCACCTAAGTTGTCTCTTTTCACAGACTGCAGTCTTTGCAGACGGCCGAAAAGAGATGCATTCAAAGGCCTGCATCCTGGCGCGACTGTAATGGCTTAGGAGTATTCTGAACGATAACCAATAGCACAACCGCGCCTAAGTAATCCTACCTAGTCGAAAACACACTTCGGAATTTCAGTTAATATTTCACGAGATCGGCCACTGACTGTAGGTTGACGCTGTTGGCCTTTTAACTACAAGATCTCAGGGAGTGGGTCACATGTTAGGTAGCAGACTCGACTCCGTTGAAAACCGATGTACAGTAGGTGGGCTAACTCATGAAATGTAAACCGAAATTCCGAAACGCGTTTTCTTTTCGAAAAGATTAATTAAGTAGAGTTGTAAAACTAGTCAGCCTGCAACATAATTCTAATAATAATTCAGTTACCTCAGGATGCCGGCTTTCAAACGAACTCCCTTCCGACTGCATGAAAAAACCACACTGTAAAAAATGACTACTTAAATAACATGCACTTTTCTCATCGATTTTCGACGCCCCTAAAAGTCTAATTATATTTCATGGAAAACATGCATGGAAATATTCATTCTTTTGCTCATTCGGTAGACAAATACGTTGTCTTCCAATTTCATACTCAAAGGAATGGTATAATTTGGTTTTCAAAAACTTTTCCAATTCCCGAATAATTTTGAACCCGCTCTACCGTTACATTTGGATTCAGGGTTTCCAAACTACAAGCCGTATATTTTCCGCGTACTGAAAACCAAACATTTATTTACGGTAATAAAGGGGGACAATATAGGGTTCATAAAATGTAGCGGTGGATTTGACTAATATTGTTAACTTTACAAGCCCCATTGGTAAATGCAGAGCCATAACGGTTTATGAACGACCATTTCACGGTGTTTAAAAGTCCCACAATTAAAAACTTTTTTCAAACCGAATTATGTCGCTTCTTCGTGTATCAAATTAGAAAAAACGTAATTATCTACCGAATGAGCAAAAGAATGAATATTTTTGTGCATGTTTTCCATAAAATATAATTGGACTTACGGGGACATCGAAAATCAATGAGAAAAATTGCTGCTACTTAAGTAGTCATTTTTTACAGTTTTTGCATGCAGCCGGAAGGAAGCTCGTTCGAAAGCCGGCATTCTGTGGTAACTGAAATTTTATAGAATTAGATTACAACCCCACTTAATTAATCTTTTCGAAACGAAAACACATTTCGGAATTTGGGTTGACATTTCATGAGTTAGCCCACCTACCGTAGGACAACTGGCACAGTTGTGGCGATGCCCTCTTAAATAACGAGGCTCAGTTCGATCGGAAGCAGCTGCAGCGTAGACGCCGGTGGCTTATGGTTACTTCACTAGTCGAATCTTAATGGAAACCCGATAGCGCCGGACGTGCAGTCAAACACACACACAAAAATACTGAACTGAAATATTCAAACAAAAGTCAGGTCTAATTTAGTCAACTTGGATTCACGCGTTTACAATGCTTCTTGGAGAATTTAAAAGGTCCGTCCTCTATGTTGTGTTAAAAACCAACGTTGAAAGTGAGCCTGCGGCATTAAAATGTTGTACTGCAGCAAAGGAATCTATCAGCTACCTAAGTACAGTGACAGGACTTTGATAATCACGCAGTTCTCAAGGCAGTAAGTACAGTTCCGAAGGAGTTGATCCTGCGTAATAGATTTCCTACTCAACCTGGTTTTTCTACGGCTGGGATCCTGCCTCATCCAGCATGCCTCAGCAGTCATTCGAATGAGGCATCTTTATATCTGCTGGCAGTTGATGGCGAAGGTTGTGAGCTCAATTTATTCTTTTTTCCAGCGATGTAGACCGAGGACCCAAGAACCATCCGGCTATCTTTTGAATGAACTCACAAATAGCCTCGGTGGCCAGATAATGTATGCACTAATTCATTAACACTCCTAATTTTGATCCTAACAATTTTCAAGAATGGGTCTCAAAAATACCCAGTTTTTCGTATGGACTGACCTTATTTGGGCACCTCTAGCCCAATTGCAAAGGTCCTTCCGCAAGAGGATGGAGTTAAGGGCCGTGGAACATATGTAGAAGAAGAGTTGGTAGAAGAACTGCCAGAGGACGTTACGATCAACTCCATGAGCTTTAAAGACGACGGAAATTTGTATTAAGAAGTGCACATTATATATCTCATAATTCGTAAATTAACCAGAGCACACATCAGAGAGCCTACTGGTTTTGGTAAAGGAACAGTTAAAATGAGATAATTATAATCGTCTGCCGTCCATGTCCAGAATTCCAATTCATGAGCGCTGAAAAATGCTCGAAAATACCGCATAAGATGCTGACCTAGAAGTTCTTCTGACAGATTTGGCTCTCAGTTCTTCTATAAACGTGTGACGGTTCCGTGGAGTTACCGCGACTCCTGGTCACTCTGCAGTTGCAAGTAAGCATAACTCCGACTGGGACTCAATGGCGTTATAAACGTGCCCCGGATAAAGTGCTCGCGAGAGTTCCCCAAAATCACGGACTCTAGAGAAGCCAGTACCATCCAATGGGGGGATCTTGGAGAAAACCGCATTGGCCATGACCATCCCCTATAAGACAGAATCGTGACCTCATCGGGCCTAATAGAGACATACTCCACTACAGTCACTGGGAGCCTCAACCACCTTCTCCTTCTATCCTTAGGTTGCACACTCGACGTCCTACAAGGAGCGTCAAGTTTGCAGCCGCCATTTCCCTTATCTACCCCCGTCCATTTCGTCTGGGGACGGGCTTTTGTTAATGCTCCTTTAAAATTTCGGAACACAACTCTATCCCTACGAAGATCTTCCTCTGTACTTTTGAACCGTGGCATTCCGAAGATTTTATTCAATGTTATTAACTTATAAGTAGTGGATATTAAAGAGATGACGAATAAGACCATCCACTCGCCCACCTGTGAAGAGGTCATGAAGCTCCTCGAGGGTGTTCATGAGTCGTTGATGGTGAGGACGGCGGCTCTGCCAAGTGCCCTGCCTCGTAAACTTGAGATGCTGCTGGCCACCAATAGAGAAGGCCTGGCAACTCAGGTTGGCGATTGGCTCGTACTCCAACAGCGCTCCAACAATCACTGCCGTAGGAAGCAGTCGCTCCCTCAGGTGGCTGTTAAGCAGCTACAACAGAGAGAGATGGTCTGTGGCTTCAAATACAAGCATGATTTTACTTGCCACGCGACCCCTCTAGGCGCAATTGAAGGCGAGCTGACGAGATTTGAGCAAGCGGTTTCAGAAGACGATGTGGCGAGCATTGGTAGCTTTCGATAAATTCTCGTCGGGCCAGTACAGTTATATAGGAACGGGGTAGAAGTAAAACATGCCAGCGATAAGAGAAATCGATAAAAGTTCTTCTTAAAACTGCTATTTTCCCCCTCCCCCTCCCTCCACCACATCCCCACACACCGCCTGTGTTTTAAGGAGAACTTTTATCGATTTCTCTTATCGCTGGCATGTTTTACTTCTACCCCGTTCCTATATAACTGTACTGGCCCGACGAGAATTTATCGAAAGTTACGTATGCTCGCCACCTCGTCTTCTGATTACTGCTACGGAAATTTTCGCAATTCTAAGCGGTTTCAGTCTTGGTTGTAGTGTGTAGCAGATTGATGAACACTGAATGACTGCCAAATATTGTCTTTTTATTTTAATCCGACCAGAGGAGCAAAGATTTGGACCAAAAGGCAATATCCTTTTGTCTGCATTTTGAAATGCGCAGCAGTTGTTCAGTCATAAGGAGGGCGCACGATACACCTGCGCTGAGCATTTCCCCTAGAACTGATAAATATAAAACATATAGGGAAGGTCAGTGTTTGGTCATCTGACTTTCAGACGACCCGAAGATGGGGCCTCAAGTGTTCGCACCGATATATTCAGATAAACCGGAAATATAACGATCTGGAAAGCGATCAAGGCACGGATATAAGGTCGGAAATCGATAAACAGGTCTCCCGAGCTCCCTGTCCCCTCCTACCGACGCCACATATCCAGACTAGAGGATGCAGTTGCCACCAAGGTAGCAACAATCAATCGCAATGACAGAAGACAGAAATCATCGGCTTATTTTCCCTCGTCAACTGCTTCATTTACTGCTTTTCGCATAGCTCTGCTAACGGGGCCAAGTGATCAGGGGGTGTGGGCTACTGCTTCGGGTGTCCCATCATTTTCTCTCGTCTATAAAAACGTCATAAGGCCCAAAGAAATATAAGCAGACGCATTATGCATTTCGGAAACCCACTCGCCTACTTAATTACGTACGCTAGCTCGGTGTTCTATTGTTACTATCATGGTAATGTAGCAAATACTAGAAGTACATTCTCCATTAATCAACGAGGTTGTCAATTAATACAGAGAAATGTATTTCGAGGCCATAAAGGTTAAAAACATATACTTGTATTCGGCGCGTATTCGCACGCACATCTCTGAAAAGGTAAATTCCCAATTCATATTTATTAGCTGCAGTTCCACAGAGAAGCAAGATGACAAACCACAGAGACCCACTGTAGAGCTGAAGCTAACGTAGCTTGTCAGCGATTTACGGATCTTCGACAGGCCATACCGAGTCCGGGATTATTATGCATCAGCTTGTTGCCGACAGCCGTCATGTTGTGTCTGGCGTCCCCGTTGCGTCAAGGTCATTCACCATCGCAGCGAGCGGTTCCAGGCTCGCTGGCCTACAACCAATCGACTGACTTCAACTCGGAAGCACATACGTCCACAGAGTCGCAGCTGCCTATGCGTCATTTGAACAACACCCCTCGACAAATCAACACGCACTAATTGGACACCAGTTGAGCTAGTCCCACGAGCCAACAAAAGAAGTTGCCACTGTCTCACGGACTCTCGCGCATGACTGGACACAGTCAACACCAGCCCTGGCTTCGCCAGCGGCACTGGTGCCTCAGAGGACAATTTGGGGTTCTCTATGTAATAAACACCTCATTCTGGTGACTTCTGTCTTTTGCTACAACCCAGGATTTGGCTTAATGATTGTAACGCTCTGAATACGCTCACCACCTAGCCGCTACAAGCTTAGCTGAAGGGCAGACCCGTTTTCAGTAAGGACAGTATGTGACGGGTCAAAACTACGGTCCACCTTCAAAACACATGCTGGAAAATGATAGGTCTCCCTCTGCACTGATGAGGGAGCCACCGATCAGCCAAGGGTGATGTCAATACTGTCCATCAGGTAACAGTCGCGGGATTGGTTGGAACACGAGTTGACCATTATCCCTGTGCCATTTGTTAAAGCCGTTCAAACATAAACAGGGTACTGCTGGTAACTCCATGCTGCTACAAATCAAACAGGCGCTCCTTTTGGAAGGAGAAAACATACGTGAAATATGAGCACATTAAGATCCTGTAGAACACGCCAGAAGGGGTTCAGATCGTAGTTTTGCATAATGTAGGCACTCCATTCTCGTTGTTGCTCCTCGCTTGCGCCACAATTCAGATACTCCTCTTCACCGCTGTACTGTTTGAGACAGTTGAGCAGGCAGACAGAGTTGGCCAACCAGAAGACCAGACATTCTGTGTCATGAAGCTTCCTCTACAGAGTAAAAGACAACAGGGTTCAGATGAAGTCAAATGGAGACGTGAGCATGTTGACTGAGTGGTGATCTAATTCCTGGCTTCTATCTCTCCGAACCACTCTCGTCGGGGAAAATGCGGGTAAACCTCGCGAATGGCCATTTCCGCCGTACTGAGGCCCTTCGGCGAACCCCGCCCTATTTAAAGATTCGACGCACCAGAGCTGAGTGGCTCTCTTGGATCACAGTTTTGAATGATAGCGGATTAGAGTTTGGCTAGAAACTGCATGTTTTTTTACTTCAGATGCTAGACCCAAAAACAGACCGTTCGTAATCTGAGGTCAGCAAATCCGGCGCGGATCATTGCGCCTTCTTGCTTATTGGCAGCGCCAATGGCGACTGTGACTAGGTTACTGGCGGTCAAGATTAACCATTCCAGTTTGGCTAGAGTTTGTGCTTCTCGGGGTATAGTCCCCGAGTTGAAATTCGACAGTCCGGAGAGTGTATGCGTCAATGGACCTATCTGTTTAAGAGATCGTGACGCCGGGCCACACACGTCGCCGGTAGCTCAGCAGGGCAGTTGATTGCCTGGGTGTATTGGGACCGTACTACTTAGTGCCGTGGGTCGCGAGACTGGTGAACGCGTGGTAGCCCTTTGTCATACTTTTGTTTATACACTGTTTTGTATAGTTATTCTATTTGTTAGGCATTTCCCAAACTCGATTTATTTCCTTTTGTTTAAGTTGGTGCTTATGCAACGGTTGCGCGGACAATCCCCAAATGGTGTGAGTTTCGGTTTCACGAACCGACTTTTCACCCACTGCGTTTGTTCTTCCCTGGGCGACGCTGACAGTCAAGTCCGTTCTGACGCGGTCGTTTCGCTTGGCTTTTCTCGACTTGGTTTTAGCGTGGGATCGCGTTATCGATTGACTAGGCCTCACGTGCGCACACGCCGCGCATACGCGCGCGTGCGTACGTGTGCGCTCTAGGTTTCTCGGCAAACACTAAGCGTTAAGCAGGTTGTCAAACCTGACCAACTCAAGCACCGAATCACAGAGCGGCGTGAATCGATGAGAGGGCTGCGTTCACCATCAAGCCCACCCCCTCAGGCACTTGTCAGGGCCAGCAGCTACAGTCGCCCACCGCACCGACATGAAAACGAACAAACCGCAAGCAGGTAATAATAGCGCAGGGGGGTAGTGGAATAAGGCATGAATCAGGGCGGGTAACTTGACCCAAATGTGAGTAAAATCGCGTCGTCCGGCGGAGCCTCGTAGCTCAGGTGGTTAGAGCGTTGGCTGTACTAAAGCCCTCCCTCACTGTCGTGGATTCGAATCCCACCGAGGCGCCGAGTTTTTCACAGTGGGGTCAATATGAATTATAAAAAATCTGCCAAGACATCTATCGATAACAGAATTATTTGTGCTTCACCAGCAGCAAGTGAGACATTCGACTTCGGTCGCCTAAGTATTGTTAACAGAAGCATGGAAAAACAAGAAGCACTGCGACCACCGTTTCAATAGGCTCTGTGTGGATTCTGGATGCTATTCAGTTGTGAGTCACATGATCTGGTCTTGCTTGCGGAGGACTATGGCGAGACTTTCAGCGCAGCGGCGAGGCGACTGCATCGTGAGCGCACATGGGCCCAATCTTACTGGTAACCTCGCCATACCAACTATAGGTGTTATTAGCGTATTTTTATGGCAGTTTCTAATCTAACAGGAACTCTGTTCAAAGCATCCGGATAAAACACGAAATATGAATGGATGGAAGAATTCTCGTGTACCTCATACCGCGAAAACGGGCTTTAAGCGACCTGAAGGGTAAAAGCAGACAGCAGAAGGTATAACAGGTCCGAAATGCATAGTATTACCTTGGCAACAGTGCGGATAGCTTGGATAGTGTTCGTGAGGATACCGGTAACCTGATCTTCCGCGCCCACCGAATCCGCACCTCGGATTAAGAGGTAGATCAGGTGACCAATCAGCAAAGGTCGCCACTGCTTCGCATCTTGGGGCTTCGTATCTGAAATAACAAACAACGAATGTAGGCGATTAACGCCGGACATGACGCTAAACTGCCATTCTTGATTTCGGAACTCACTCTATGCAATTAAACCGTCTGATACTTCACATGTGAGATGCAATTTCACGCAACGCACTCGTATAAGACTGACGAGTAGCCGAATATGATCTCCGGCATCATTTTTTTTCGGTAGGTGGAATTTACGACCCACCTTGAGGGCGGGGCAGCGACTTGTACTGGCGATTGACAACCAAAAAGACTAACAACAAGCTATGGCCCGGATTCGCGATACCAACTCCACGGACCGGTATCAATAGTATGTAACGCGTTGCCCTTTCACACACGAACGGTGTGGTCCCGCTTTCAGTCGAGGGCGTACGACGAACGGAAACAGGATCCTTTCCCCTGTTGTTCTATGCCGGTTCACACATATAAAATGACTATGTGAACTTCTGAGTCACAGTCTATGGCATAGCTACGATATACCTTCGACTGCTGATTCGCTACGCATGCAATTCCCTGCCAAACTTCGGTACTTGGGGTTGTGGTTGCCTTGTCCGGATTATCCGTTCGATTGTGGACTCCGAAAAACCTATCGCACAACCCAACGGTGCTCTTACATGGGTTTTTGGGGTTTTTAGTTATATCAGATTATTAGGTGTAGTTCTGTTGGTAATGCCAACCGGCATGTTCGACCCACACCTGCGCGTCTGGATTCGAGGTCAAGTCCATGCAGATCTGTCCGATATCTGGAATTCAGTACTCCGTCTCGACCGGTCCTACAGTAAACACAAAGCGTTGCTCAGGCATTACTGCAATATAAAGTGTGGTATCGAAGCCGTCACAAGCAATGCTTTGCTTGAAACGAGTACAGAGGAGGGAATCGCACTTTTGGTCAGGGACCTATGCCTTCTGGCATCTGTCTAGAGGGGTGGGGGGACGCATTTGGCCAACAGCGCATGCGTCATCGCTTACTGTATTGACTAATCGAGGGAGCAGGGTAGACGACGCATGCAGAGCACAAAGTCGTTGTGACATGCTATGCCTACTTCCCTCCGTCGCCAGACATACTTGGGTGGGGTGGGGAGAAGTTTATTGAGCTACGAGTGCAGATTTGGTTTGAGCATAGTCTGACCTGGCAGCTGGGACCACAACACCAGATCCCGAGGGTAAGCTGCCGTCCGCTCAGTCGCGTGGACTTGGGAATTGAGAGGTATGTCACAGTGCAAGATCCAAGTTTTTCAAAGGAGTCTCGCATAACTTAGTATTAGACAAGTTCGGCAAGACCTCATTTCGTAGCCGTACCTGATGGGGGTCAGGGTAAGAGGTTAAGGTTGGGGGTTAGGGGCTAGGGTTTAGAGGTTAGGGGTCAGGCTGGGGCTTGTCAACTGCAGGTACGGCTACGAAATGAGATCCGACCGACAGTTCCTCTGAGGAACAGTGTAACCAGTCTGGATTAATCCAATGAGTAAAAGAGGGCGTCGACTTCTGTCAAAGGTTAAAAAAAACGGCTCAACAATGTCAGCGCACGCCCTGGCCTTACTATCGACCATTGCCGCCAGATACTGCAATTTCTGGCTTCTGTGGACAAAGTCTTCGTTCTGGTTCCTTCTATCCTCTCCTACAAATCAGGATTTCACCAGATGACGATGGGGCTCAAGGTAATAGCCACCGTCCTAACCATTAAGTATGCGACAAATTCGTTGTTGCCCATGACAGCGTCCAGGTAGGGCTGGACTTCATTTCGGCTCTACTTTACGTCCATGGCATCACTCCGTTTTCGAGTTATTTCCAAAAACGTAATTTGTTCTCGACAACGGTCATCGCCATCTGCAAATTCTGTGCTAAATTAGACGCTTGCAAGACCACTGTTCTTTCATACGACTCCATTTCGTGAACGGTATCCAATTTCGTCAGGACACGGTGGACGGTCGACTAGTTTGTCCACCTCGGTAATTCCAGCCTACTGGCAAAGAATGTCAGGAGGGGAAAACGGGTGCCTACAACTCGCGGACAGCATATCCTGCCGAGTCTGCAAATGACTGTAGCCACACTGCGAGGTCGAGAAGAGGAGAAAGATGCGAGTTTACGAGGTTGAGTAGAAGTTGCCTCTACCAGCATCGGACCTGACTAAGTATGAGTTATTTGACAATCAGCGCCCTCCGGAGGGCGCCAGCTTATGGATCACCGCTGGAATGGGGATCAGGAACACGGGTCATAGTGGGTCGTGGTGTCGTTTGGCTACCAGAAATACAAGGGAGAATGCCCATTTAAGCTTCTTAGACACTTTCTCGGGTTCTGATCCTTACCGTGCACATCTAGGTTGCGTCTATACGGTCGCCTGGACATCCGACTTCCTGTTCCGCTATCTATAGGATACAAACGCCCTTTCGCTTCCCTGTCGGGCAGGAAACGAACAGGGAAGGAACTATTCTACTCCGACAGTGGCTGAATGTATAACTTAAGCCTGATTTCTAGGAGGTCACGGGCGTCTCCTAATTTCAGCGTTTTGGTTGGTCAGTACCGCACGCGGGAAAGTGGACATAGCGTCTTCGCGCCTGGCAAGGTGCTGATTGGCTGACTCCTGTGCGACAGCGGGGACCGTATGGGTTCGGAAAAACATCCTGCAGTACGGTGATTGGCTAACCTGCAGGCGTGGGCAATTTGCAAGTTTGGCTTTACTTTGTGGGCTCTTTGGTAATCATTTTCCGTGTTCGGACCCATTCTGATCGTTTTTAGGTGTTACTAACAGTTATTCATCCGAATCTCCATTCATTTCTCCCCACAACGGGTGACGTGTGATCGCATGATAGGAAAATTCCATGAATACTTGACAATTTAGAGCTGCTGCCGTCGCACTTCAATGCAAATCCGAAACACCAGAGGGCTAGACAGGCAGTGTGGCGACGGACCACTTCTCTTATTTCCCGTTGCTTTCTGCACTTTCCGAGATAGGTAATTATATTATTGGCAAACATTGTGGGCACTCGCTCCGCGGGGATGACCAGTACTAAGCAGACACTAGCAAGTAATCAGTTCAAAGTCGAGATCGGTCACACCAGACGCGTTTATACAGACATATACACATAGTGCGGCCTACCTTTGACGAGCCGCTGGATGAGTACAGCTTCCTGACCCTCCAGACATCGGATCAAGCCACTCGCCGAGAGGAGGTTCACCGTATTGACCACGTCTGATCCATTCTCCTGAAGGGATTTACGAAGCTGACAGTAAACCATCTCACCGTTCAGTGCAAATGAACGCGATCTTTGAGGCAGGCACATGTGTTTACGTGTAAAAAGAAGGCCAAAAAATTGAAAAATTAGATTCTTTCTCTGAGCATAGAGGCCACATTAAGAAGGAGCCATTACAGCCCGACTCAATCCACCAGTCGGCCACTTCACACAAACACACATCTGGCTGACTGTGAGGTTTAAGTTATCGCGCCATTTGGAACCCTTCCAAGCAAGGGCGTTTTGTGCGCCGTGGTAGATTCAGGTGCGACAGGTTGTTCACAGTAAGGAATATGCACTAAGACAGTCGGCCTCAATCTCTCTTCTTACACACCAGTCAACTGTCCGAGCCGGTCAGTTGCCTGATGCGAGGAGTGGGCGAGCATCCCAAGGACTGTTCAGTGGAATCACTTTGATAAATGACAGAGAGAATTATGCCCCCAGTAACTGGTTCTCCATGAGACCCGACAGTTCGACCGTCGATTCCGACGATGTCCACCGTACGCTGCTCATCATGGTGAGAGCAGGGACGGTGATTTGGACGTGAATTAGTTTATAGTGCTAGTGGACTTGCACAGCATCTACTGCACTCTCTCTTACCCTTCCCCACCTGGATCCGGCGTCAAGACAACATCATGAAGACCGGAGGCTGTGGAGGGCGCAGGTGGCAGGCACGGCCGGAACCGCACCTAGGCGTGCCACCACACCCCCGATCCACAACATACACTTGAGCAGGATTTTTCATCATCATCACCAACAACATCCGACAGGGATCAGAAGGACGAGCATGATTGTGCATCCATGACCACTACCTGCATACCCGGCGGGAGCGCAAGTGCATCTACCGGCATGGCAGGCTGCTGGGACTATGGTTCGCCGATACTGGCATATCACACGCTTTCAGATCTGTTGACGTTCCATGAGACCCAGTGACTCCACTACGACCTGTTTTTACGGTCTGCCAAAGGTATACGAAGAACATGTGCCACTCAGGCCAATCGTATCCCTTCGTGGCGCTCCGACATATGGTTCGAAAAATGGATATTCAGTCGACCGAAGGCTCATCAACAACAGTGGCATCTGCGAATCAATTTCTCCAGCGCATAAAACACATAACGTTAGAAGCAGACGAATCCATGATATCCTTTGGTGTAGTTTCGCTCTTCACCTACATTTCACAGCACCTAGCGATACACGTTGTGAACCAACTACTAGCTGAACGTTGTGGGAAGAGAAGCAAGCCTCTGAAGTTCGAACACCTGTTCGAGCTTCTGTGACGCTGCCTGAAGTTCTATTTAGACTTTGGTGGACAAATGTACTAACAAGTCAAGGGCACTCCCATCTATCAGGGCTGATTGCTGAAGTAGCCCTTCAGCGGATAGAACACTTGGTGTTCACCAAGTATCAACCAAAGTCCTGGGCTTGCTACTTCGATTACACTTTCGTCCTTGTCAAATCATCTGATTTAGAGCACCTTAAAGAACTACTGAACTCGGTGGACTCGAATAGTCAATTCACGATGGAACCTGAATCAAACAACCAACTGTCCTTCCCCGACGTGCTTGTACGCCGGTATGCAAGTGGACAGCTGCAAACCACAGTATTCAGAACAGCCACTGACATGAGGCAAATATTACACTTCAACGGCAGTCACCCTCTGTTTCAACAACGTAATTATGTCTGCATTCTATTCCAAAGGATTGGAACACTGCGGCACGCCAGAAGATAAAAAGGCGGAACTACTATACCTTCAGAACCTCTTCAAAGCTAATGGATGTCTCGGTCATTTTATCGAGGGAATCAGACGCCGAACGAGCAGACGACAGCCTAAGAAGCAGTAACATGAAGTCCGGGGGTCATTCCCTAAATTATAGGGGTCTTCGAGGGGGTTTCTCAACTGTCACAAGCCTCCAGAGTAGGAACAACCCATCGATCCTAGACAACAATTCAGCGGTGTTTGATGAAACCTAAGGGAAACTACGCGGAAATTGCAGACCCGGCTACAAGAGCACAAGTCGACAACTCGGAGACTAGACCTAAGTTCTCAACTCGCAGTGCACTGGCAATACTCTCGATCTTCCGGGAGTTACCACCTTAGACCGGGGAAACTCAAAGGCAGAATGGCTCACACTTGGGGCATGATACCCAGATGCCAGCTCGGTCAATGGGCATCTGGACCTTCCTGCAGCTTACAAAGTTTTGCTTCATTACGTTCACAAGACAAGACGATTGCAAAGAACTTAATAAGGCCGCGCAGACAGCCCGACGGCGAGTTCACTCGACAAAGAAAAAGAGCCTAGACTGGCAAAGTTTAGAGGTCCGGCTTGAAGGTTTGAAGAAAAAGATGGGCTCACCGGAACGGGTTCATTAAGGTGCTGACTTTTCGAAGAACTTGGTCGACTCCCCATTGCCAAAGCGTAAAATACACTAAATTGACCAAGGACCGAAGTGGCATCTCAGTTGTTTTAAGAAGGACGGAGGTGTCGTAAACATGACGAGCCCAGAACTTTGGTTGATACTTGCTGAACATCAAGTGTTCTGTCCGTTGAAGGACTACTTTAGCGATTAGCCGCCAGACCGGCCAACCGCGACAGGCGCTCAAACACCTCCCCTGACGAGGTGGTGACTCACAGTGCACGCAGCTGAAAAGCCCGCCAAAAATACCCCAGAAGGCCGAGGCAGAGAGAATAAAAAAATCGATCAGTACGGGACCGAGTAGCGCGACACGGCACTTCTATTTCTTTTCGGCTAAGCGAATTTTACGCTTTGGCAGTAGTTAGCTGACCAAGCTCACGGAAAAGTCAGTATTAATTAAATCCCGATCCGGTGAGTCCTTCCTGGCAAGGATCTAGTGAAGGCCCCCAAGTATCACAAACTGGCCGCAACCACTTGTCCTACGGGAATGGTGGCAATAGGGGTTTTATGGGTGGGGCAACTGCATGGTATGTTAAATGCCAAAAATAAGAAAAGTGGGTTAAGTATTTCCAAGTGCGACTCCAAACTTGCAATATCCTTACATATAGCAATGTTTTAGGGTAAGGGGATTCAGTACTAACAGCACAGATACTAGCCAAAAGCCCATACAGGCGTGTCTCGCCGAGATTCTGCCGCTGCATGACACAGCTGCGAGGTGTTCGGCTCGTCAGTGGGTCCTCCAGCATTCTCTGTCTGCTTTCTGATAGATACTCCAATTTAGAAATTGCAGGTCAACGGGCCCGTGGCCTAGTAGTTAGAGGCGTTGGACATCTAAATAATAGGTCGCTAGTCCGAGCCTCGGGTTTTCCACACTTCGGGGTCGGGCATGACTGGCTGACAACGACCAATAAGCCAGAAACGGCAATTCCAGTCTCCCTTGTCCTTGTCGGTAATACCCTTGTAGAATTTTAACTTATGTCTGAGTCTATAGACCTCAAATATACTGATCTTCTCCAAAAAGCTAAAATATAGCAATGCCACTATGGCAATCACCGATCTCCGTTCCTTCTCGTTGGTTAGATTTGCCTTGGTTACCTGTCCCGATGTAAACTATTGATTAGCGGTAAAATTGATTTACAATTCAAATGTTTCTTATGGTTAACTTGTATAAATTCACCGCTATTACCACCATTCCCGTAGGACAGGCGGCTGTGGCCAGTTGGTGATACTTGCGGGCCTTCACCAGATCCTTGCCCCCTTTTTATTCCTCAAATTATCAATCCGAATCTCTCAACTTTGCCAATTTAATCTTGGGTTCATTTGAACGACCGACTTAGTCGCTTCTGCATAACTCCGTTGACTGCCAATGTTGATAATGCGATCGTCGCGAAATCCGCCAAAGCTGATACAGTAAGCTGACTGCCCAAGCAGGATTTCTTTAGTAATCAATCCAGAATCCACCAGATGACAACCAGGCTCACTTTCTCACTAAAGTGTAGCAGAGGGGTGCGAATGTTTTTTTGACTAACTCCCTCCCCCACGTAAGTGGCTGACCAATAGCTAGGCCGTATTGACATAAGAGCCAATCAGATCAAAAACAGTGGCTTGTGTGTAAGGTTGGGGAACGCGTGGCATCTTTCCGTGCAGAACAGATGAATAAAAGTTAAAATTTGTTTGGAGGGGACCAACCATATGGTTGTTGCTACTAAGCGAGGTGCGTTGAGAGAGGGCGATGAGCTGTTGGGCATCCATCAGGAAGGGGGACTTGCTGACCGACAAGACATCCGGCGCGGATCGGTATGCCACCTCCGCGAAGTACCGCATGGCTGAGACAACCTGCACAAGAGCAGTAAATGCTTTTCAAAAAACACGGCCAATAAAGCTAGCTGGTAGTCATTTAACTTACTAACAATGAGCCAAGAAACATATGCACGCATTCTCGAGCGCAAGGTTACTAGATAGCATAGAAGAATCTTCAGTCGTCCAATAAGTAAGCCCAATGAATTACGTCGCAGATGCCGATTGGTCTAGTGCATAAGCAATTATTTTATGGCAGTATTTGCAAAGGCTCATTTTATAGGAAGTGAAAATAAACAATACAAGACCAATACAGTAGATATTCTGAATAAGCTTGCTGCAGTATTACTCCAACAGTGGAAAGTAATTCCACTCGGAGGATGCTGATGGCAGCCGCACCGTAATTGGCTCGTTTACCATCCAGTGAGCGTGCAGGCTTTTATGAATGTTATGATCTCAAATGCGACAAGTTATTTTTACACTGCCGGAGCAACACGGTCGGGGGAGCCCTAACCGATGCCTTGATTAGTTAATGGCCACAATACAGGGCGAAGAATGTTACCTCAATGGAAGAAGGCGCTCGCCGATCGTTCTTACGGAACTGTTTCGTTTCGTTGTGCCTTAAGGGCCCTCTCTCGAGCCCAACCAGCAGCCGCAAAGCCGCGCATGATATATAGGCAGAATGGCCTTACCGACAAAGACAAGGGACACTGGAATGGCCATTTCTGGCTTATTAGTCGTCGTCGGCCAGTAATACCCAACCCCGGGGTGTGGAACGCCTGGGGCTCGAACTCGCCACCTGTTAGTTAGAAGTTCAACGCCTCTAACATTCTGCCTACATCATGCGCCGCTGTGCGACTGCTGGTTGGGCTCGAGAGATGGAGAGCCGACAAGGCGCCACGAAACGAGTGAGTTCCGTAAGAACGGTCGTTGAGCCCGTCTCCATCATTGCTTATACCCGATCGAAACCGATAGGACAGCGAGCCCGGGAATAAGTATTATCGACACAGACCATCAGTCCCTAGGCAGAACCGAGTCGCCCCCACGGTTTCCCAAAGTAGGGGCAGGTCTGCGCAGGCCACCTCCACGTGATTACAAACACCCAATCTCAGCCGACATGGCACAAGTCCGTGGCGTAGAGCTGGGAGTCTTGCTCGATAACCGACTGACTGGAGTTTAACCTCGGATGTTGCACTGCCTGGGCTTGGAGTATCGATGATGAAGACGTTCGTTAAGCCTGAAATGGTCGTTCCAACATTTCTGTCTTTAACAGAGACACGCACACCCCTTCTAGACCTTCCTAAACTTGAGAACATGAGTTCAGGCCTAACAAATCCTTATAATGAAGTCGTAGGGGAGCTCTGTGATGAGGAGAACGTTAGAGCGATTTTGATGCGAAAATTGCGAACTTCTTTACACGCAAGGCGAAGGTCGGAATGAACCCACAGAAACAATATTTGTCCTGGAAGACCTACTTTTCATCCTGTAGCACATTAAATTGAACTATGCTGCTTTTCTGACCTTCCAGTTTAGAAGGGGAAGTGGCTTGTAGGCAGGCCGCACCCACGCAAAATGCCGACTTCCGTCAGAAAGTTAGGATTCCAATGAGCCCATTAATTTTTAGGTAAGGACAGTGATTGTGTGAGTGATAGACCGCCGGCAAGTGTATAGTTTATGGCCGGGTTTACTTTCTCTGGGGAGCAGTTGTGCTAAATGAACATAACTGGCGATATTTATTTGTTTGTGCCGCAGAAAAAAATAAAGAGACCTCGCGGTGGCTGTTGCGTGAAGGTGGTCAGGATGCTTTAAAGTAGTCATCGGGGTAGAAATACTACGATGCAATACCTTTTTGACAACGCCTGCAAAGGGGCACTAAATTCACTTACTATTATCACCAAATGGTATAAACAGTGACATCGTTTAATCGGTGAAAATATGGAGGACAAAAATTTGTGATAGCACAGAGTTCTTAGATGCCCAGCTCTTTTGTTAAACGCAACTGTTCCCCGGGGTAAGTAACCCCGGTCATAAACCATACCCTTGCCAGATCGGTCTTAATGATCAAATATAAGCGTGGTGCAAAGCAACCAGTTCGATGTCGATGAGACAGAATAGCGGACCTCCGATGGGGAATTTCGCCAGGACCATGTCAGCAAGACAAGGCACAGTAAGTGGAGGTCATTGCAAAGTTCTTTTAAAAAAAATTATGCGGAATCGATGCTCACCTTCCTGTAGTGCGTGTTTGTGGTCTCCAACTGCTCACGCAGCGTCAGGTTGTCTGAAGTTAGACGCGTTAGTTCGTTCTGGAAACACTTTGTGGCCTTTTGGTCAGCTTCCAGACTCGTATCCTGAAGGAAAAAGGAGATCGGGGCGGTTATAGTGTGTCGTCAATACTAACACCTCATGCTGGCAAAACACTCTCGTAGTCTACTTCGACTAAATTCAATGGGTCTTCTCTGAATCACACAGGCCAATTATATTTAATGCTCTAAAACTTACGAAAATCGCACTGCACTTCCGTCTTCTAACTCCAACAATAACTCTGATATAAGACTAAACCGTTGCGCTAGACTTGACCCTAACCCTTCCCTAAACCTTAGTTCTGCAATTATCATTAGCCCCTACCTTAACCCTAAACTCGATCCTGACATAACTTACTGTTAACTTTAAATCTAGCCTTAAATATAATCCTTAACCGAGCCCCAAACCTAACCTTAAATCTAACCCTTATTTCACTGGCAGTTGGCTCAGAGCCGCCCGTATTGCCGGTGGTTCCTGCCCTCATGTCCTGTTTAGGGGGCCATTAAGTCAGTCCTACCGTTTTATTCAACAAGCAGAAATGCATACTATGCATTCGAAGGCTCGCGGTCAGGGGAGGTCTCGTAGAACACTGGAGTGCACACCGCGACAGTCAGACCGTCGCAAGCGACGACGTGAATTTGTGTATTGCGAAGCAAACCTCAGTCGCGTTGACCCCTTGTAACGCCCCTTGACCTGAACAGGGTTGTTTGAATGCTGTAACACTTTTGGCGCGGACCCGGGATGGCGATGGTGTAACTGCGTGCTGGTGAAGACGGCCGGTCTCCCTTCCTCCCGCTACCACCGACACCCCGTCCCACAACGCACCGCCGTTCTCATTGCCCTCTCTCACTCAACGTCGGCTCCCGCCTCGGCCTTTCCCTGCAGTTGCCCACAGCACTGCATCCCGACCGGATGTTTAGTTAGTATGTCAGGGTCGCCTCTCCATCCAGACAGGTTATCTCATTGCAGTTTCTCATTCTACATGTACACTAACAATTATTATACACATTTCCCGTGCCCATCTCGTTATATTATACTATATCCCTTACTCGACGTAGATTCTTCTGCGTGTGAATGAGTATCAAGAGGTGCTAACAGTTCTGTTCAGATCTATCTCCGCCAGGATCTCTTCTCAGCGTTTCCTTACTTTGGTGTGTGCTACCCTTGACGTCCTCGGTCGCTACATCCTGACAAAAAGGCCCTCTAGAGAGCCAATTTTAAAATAACCAATAATTGTTTTAATCGGTGCAGGTAACGAACAACTCCCGTGTCCCTGGTTCAAAGTCCGTATCCGCCAGAGAAAAGTGAAGACTGGACCATTGCTCACTCAGCTCACTCCTATAAATCCGGACATGTTCCAATTAACATAACTCTATAGCATATCTAAAAGGGGTGGCAGATAGCGTGATTGGTGCGCGAAAGTTAAATTAGTGTGCATGGAGGCAGTGCTTCTGGGTGCCAGACTTGCCGTCAGGGTGTCACCCAACTAAAAACAAATGAATCAAGGTCTTAGAAAAGGAAATATGTCGAATAAACTGTATTTAAAAGCACACGAGGTGGGTATGCGTTTGCTGCATAGCCGAACAGCCAAAAAGTAATTCAAGTGGTCGGTACGTCCACAATAACTTTGCATAAGCCTCTAAAATATAAGCGAAGAATGAATGAGTGAGATGGCATGTTTCTCCGACCAAAACCGAGTGGATTGTTGAGGGTATGTAGTTCTGCTGTTTGCTTTGAGAGTAAATAGCAAAAATAGCGGAGTATTTGTACCAAAAAGTTCTATAAAGTTTAAAGGCGCTTCATGTACAAAACCCTTTCAAGTAAAACCACAAGGTTCGAAAGTTCACATTTAGTAGTTGATTTCAAAAAGTTAGGATTTGCTAATCAAAACGAAATGTCACCATGCCACTTGTTCCGATATACGACTGAGTACCGCCGACACGGTTCCTGGTTCAAAGTGAAGGCGTGAATTAATATCCAGAAATGATTTACTAACTGACGAGTTTAAATGGATTACAAACGCGTGGTATCCGACACAGCGAAAGAAAAATTACAGGAAGGCCTTTCTACCATAGAAGAGTCGTCAAGCAACTGGCCAAGTTTATATGCGATAAATAGGCAGCATTTTCAATTGGAAATATTCAAAAGACAATTTGGCGAGCATACGTCTGCTTTCGATAAATTCTCTTCAGGCCTGTACATTTATATGGTTATTGAAGTAATGAATTAAAATATACGGGCAAGTAGATAACTAAGCTGTAGCTCGGGTGTGGGGAGGGGAGGGGAGGGGGAGAGTGAAACACCACAATTCCAGTCAGCGCCAGGGAGAAGGTGGGTGCCGGCGAAGGTAATTGCATGCAGGTGGCTGGCTTGGTGGCTTTGAACAATGTGGGACCTGTGTGAAGTTCTTCTGAAGACCGGTCCGCGTAGCCTGATTGCAGCCGCCTCTGTCGTAGCCAACAGGCGCTGCCCAAGTAGTTTTGGATAGCTTGACAGGACCTAGTAAATCACTCTGAAGGCCTCTCTGGCGTCTACACGGTAGTTTGTGTCTACCATGTGCGCAAGGATCGAGCTGTTGATGTTCTTTATTTGACCCTTTCTTAACCATGCTGGAAGATGTTCTTTTATTCTTTTGGATAAACGTCGGCTCGTGCTACCAATATATTCTGCCCCACAGGAGCAGGTGAAGGAGTAAAGACACAAAGAGGTGATCATCGAAAGTCTTTTTCGCCAGAACGGGTATCCTGATCGATTCATTGCTAAGAACATGGCCGAAAGACCACAAAAGCCCTCGATACTGACGGAGGAAAGAAAAGGCTCTTCATCAGGGTCCCATTTCAAGGGGATGCACCAAGTGCACTTTTAAGAAGACGCCTGACTCAAGCTGTATCACAGACCTTTCCAGCAACTAACAAACATGTACTGTTCTCCAATAGTCCCATCCTGTACGGAGAGGGCAAGGACAAACTACCAGCTCAGACCACATCTATGTGTATTTACTCCTTCACCTGTTCCTGTGGGGCAGAATATATTGGTAGCACGAGCCGACGTTTATCCAAAAGAATAAAAGAACATCTTCCAGCATGGTTAAGAAAGGGTCAAATAAAGAACATCAACAGCTCGATCCTTGCGCACATGGTAGACACAAACTACCGTGTAGACGCCAGAGAGGCCTTCAGAGTGATTTACTAGGTCCTGTCAAGCTATCCAAAACTACTTGGGCAGCGCCTGTTGGCTACGACAGAGGCGGCTGCAATCAGGCTACGCGGACCGGTCTTCAGAAGAACTTCACACAGGTCCCACATTGTTCAAAGCCACCAAGCCAGCCACCTGCATGCAATTACCTTCGCCGGCACCCACCTTCTCCCTGGCGCTGACTGGAATTGTGGTGTTTCACTCTCCCCCTCCCCTCCCCTCCCCACACCCGAGCTACAGCTTAGTTATCTAGTTGCCCGTATATTTTAATTCATTACTTCAATAACCATATAAATGTACAGGCCTGAAGAGAATTTATCGAAAGCAGACGTATGCTCGCCAAATAGCCTTTATGAACTTTACAATGGGAATTTTCGCAACTATAAAACAGTCGGAAATATGTCAGTGAGTGCGTTTGGCAGGCATTCTTGGACTTCAGGCCGCTTCAAACTAGCGTTTGTCAGGCAGATTAAGCGATAATCCACCTGACATACCCATAGTATTAGTCGCCATGCGATCTACTGCGAGGATTCTGCTATGAACCCCAGGGCACAAGGGGACGAAGGCGTTCCGTGACCTGAGCAGCGAGCGCCCCTCCACCATAAATAATCCATTATGTTCATTCAGTAAATCTCCTCAACATGACAGGGTTCATGGAGGTTCTACGGTGTCGTGAGGATAGTTCGACTTCAAGGTCTGCTACAACCTTCGCGCCGACAGTTGCCATAGTGACAGAGACGTCCCAGCAGATGTCGCGTGGGTATGGGGTACAGCAAAGTTTTTATTTGCCTGAACGCGGACAATTCCAAAACTTTGAACTGGCTGAAACCAACACGACTCTTCCTTACTGGTCTGGGTTTCTTATGGTGTCAGTAGCGGAACCTGTCCCCCTAAACCTCTGTAGTTGGCTCCAGGAGCATACCTTCAACGTGCCCAAATAAGGCTGTAAGCGAACGTCATTAGCTGTAATTATTATCGCTCGGTTCCATGTCATACTGTTCTCGCTCTATAGTAAATAGCAAACACACCCGTGCTCGTCGGAAATATGTCTGTTAAAGTGTCAGTTTGATTGTCCTGACAGTCATGGAGTCTGAGGCCTCTACGACGATACGAAGGACGAAGAAGCGGACTCCAAATTAGAAGGAGATAAGTCAGGAGATACGCGGGGCCCGGCCGGGTACTGCCTGGATGGAGAGGTGGTTGTGAGAAACATAGCCACTTCTTGGGACGATGTCTAATTGCGTCTTAGAGGGCACTAGCTGTGTCTAAAGATTGAGCATCAGTCGTCCACAGAGTACACGCATTTCCGAAGGATGACCAGTCAGTCTCGAGAAATTACTGCGATCTTTTATTTCTGGGGTAGCAGGCGCGCTCGGAGGGAAGCGGTGAACAAGCGGAGACCAGATCGTCAAAGTCGGACGTGACTGACCACTTGCATGATTACACGACCAGCCGACGGGTTGATGACATGCCAGTCGATGAGCTCAAGTGACTCAAGCTGGGCTGGCACGTGGCACCGAGCAGTCGAGCGTAGAAGTGGCCTCTAATGCAGCGGGGTTTCACCAGGGACGGTATGTTCGACAGAACCGAGAAAAGTAAATTATTGGGTATAGATTTCGCAATTCCAAAGTTGTGGCGGTCAGAAGAATCCAGCCCCGTTCTGCAGGGGTAGTGGGAAGACTAGTAGGGGGCGTATATTACGCATAGAAGTTTGTTGGCCAGAGCCTCAGACGTGAGGTTGATTCAAGGCCTGCACGAAAGAGTGATATGGGCGCGGATGACTAGGTGTCATGTGATAGTCGGTGAGCTGATTGGGTGATTACGAGGTTTGTAGGTGCCTGTGATTGGCTGCCTCGAGGCTGAATGTGCGCTTGCTCCAACCGCACACAGTGAAAGGAACTGTAACACCTACACCAATAGCCCTGCACGGGGCGCGCGCGCAATCGCTATTACTAATTATAAGGTTGGCGTTTGCAGGACTAACTTTGGTTACGCACATTGGTGAATTAAAACGTAGTGCCTTGTTTGTTATAATTTGGGTTTCTCATAAAATTACTTAACATAAGGGGCATACTATAAATACAAATAAAGTAGAATGACGGTAACTCAAATTTGCTATATTTTCTTTTCACATTGTCTCCCCACCAATCACAACGCTGGACTTGAGTCTTCGGACTACTTCAACGCCCGAGGCCTTATAAATACGCCAGAAAGTTAACGAAGGAACGAAATAGGACGCTTGGGCCTCGGCTTTCTGTTGTCTGTCGACTTTACTGTTAAGCAAGAACTCCTGCGGCCCTACCTGTGTATATTAGGCCATTAGCGAGGACTGTAATTGCCTTATTTCTTCTTGGGGTTAGCCCTCAATCTGATCAGGGACGTTACAACAGGTCGCAACCACACGCAATACTTGGCGCGCGTATGTGCCTGATCTACAAAATGTAAGGGCATCCCAAGGCTCGTGCATGCCGGTTTTGGACAATACGGGCTCAGGGAGTCACAGAACGTCTGGCTATGTTGCCCTTTTCAACGACAACATCACAAGACGGCATACTTCATTGTCGTGGCTGCGATGGTAGATTGACTCAAGCCAAAGAACTCTCTTGCACCTCTTCCACAGATTTAAAGAACCTGACATCCGACAGGCTGGAGTATTTGACTCAGCGAACTGTGATCTGCCCACCGTTTCCGGCGGATTGCCGTTTCGTGAATCAGCCAAATTTTGAGGATGACAGTCACTATGGAAGTACGTTATGCCTCCTGCCCCGGTTTCGTTTACTGCTTCTTTCGAATTATTTCTACTTTATAATCTAGATAGTGTGGACTTCGTCGGCTTAAGCGTACGTCTCCGATGGAATTTACTAATTCGAGCCGGGCTAGAGACTCTTGGGGTTACTTTTCGTCCGAGTAGTCCTATGCGGGCCAGCCTGTGTTAACCTGTCATGCATGAACCACAAAGAAGGCGAATATCGAATAATTCGTTGAGCCGACACCCTTGGCTACAAAGGTCCCGGCACGAATCCAACCGGAGTTCCTCACATAGCCGACGTTTCCCACTTTTCCTAAGAGTGCCCTAAATAGTCAAGTCTTCGCATATGTAAGAGGATGGAGAACCTGGGCATATTTGACAAAATAGATTTGAGTAGGTGCTTTTCGGAAAAAATGACCCCTTATATATTCCCAAAGTGCCGATCTTGAACTTCGAAGGAAAAAAGATTCCAATTAAACGGCCTCTTTAAAAATCTCAATTGCTCATGCCTAGTGAAAGACCAGTAGGAAGTTGTTGCCATTCTCTAGTAGTGCGGAGAAATCATTTTAATTCATATTGACCCAACTGTGAAAAACTCGGCGCCTCGGTGGGATTCGAACCCATGCAGTGAGGAGAAGGCTTTAGTACAGCCAACGCTCTAACCACTTGAGCTACGAGGCCCCGCCGGACGACGCGAGTTTAATCACATTTGGGTCAAGTTACCCGTCCAACCTACTGCAACGTCTGGAATCCACCAAATCTGATACAGTAAGTTGACTGCCCAAGCAGGATTTTCTAAGTAATTCACCTAGAATCCACCAGATGACTACCAGGCTCAAAATATGCCAAAATATCTATGAAATCATTTGAAGTTGAAGTGGTTTGAGGCTTGTTTCCCAGTTGCTGGCCAAATCAATTTACACACTGGACTGTTAGATACCTATAGGGGTTGCGAGATCGACAGAACACGGTTACGACCGCAAACACTTCCACAACACACCACCACTAATTATCCTAATCAAAATCTTTCCAAAGTCGGACTGTAAATTTTCGCGATTGATGCCGGTACCAACAAGTGCGTGAATTCTAAAATGCACAGAGTATACCTGTTCGATGAAGTGCATTTGCCTTGAGATTGATTTCCTCTGCTCCTCGGAGTACTTGTCAAGCTGGGACTTGTAGAGTTCGTTTTCGGCCCTTAGCGTATCGGCCTCCTCCTGCAGGCGCCTTCAAAAACGTAAAGGAAAACAAATTACAGTACTGCAGAACAATTTTCAAGTGAATCATGAAACTTTACTGCGAAAACGTTTGTAGCGGGCAGCCATCAAGACCGGTCTGCAGTCATTGTACAAGACCTCGCAGCCTCAAGGTCATTCACCCCTTTGCTGTGAGCCGTTGCGGACGCGCTGACCTGAAGTCACACGGCCGACAGCTCGGGCATACCTGCACAGCCGCTGTTGCCCATGCGGCCACTTGAACGCACCTCCCCCCTGCAAGCACAACCTAAGCCACTGGGGACACCACCCCCCGGCAAATGCAACACACACTGTCTGGACACCACTTGAACTTAGCCCACGAGCCTACAAAAGTGGCTGCCATCACTGCCCCATGGACTTCCAGGCATGACTGGACGCAGTCAACACCAGCCCTGGCTTCGCCAGTGACCACTGTCGCCTGGGAGGACAACTCCGGGTTCTGTGCACAATAAACCCCTCAATCTGGTGCCTTCTGTCTTCTCCTTCCAACATGGGATTTGGCCTAAAGTTGTAGCGCTCAGACTGCACACACGCACACCGCCTGGTCACAACACGTTCTCGGCATGCCAAAGTCAGAAAGGCACAGATACGCACAGAATGGCGCAGAAGTAACGGTACAGTAAAATACGTGATCGGCAGTTGATCTGGCCGACAGAAGGGAATAAAAGGAACTCAGTGTGGTCTTAACTGTGGAGAGGGAAACTGACGAGGAACTGACCTCCCTCTCGCGTTCGGCGTGTTTCATCTGAGCCCACCAGCGACTGTTTTGATATTATCCTGCTATCGCAGTCTTGCGGGTGAGGGAGGAGAGAGTGTGATAGATCCTGTGCAAGTATGCCTCATTATTAGCTAATTCACGCGTGAGTCACCAGTGCTGTGTCCACGACGTGGGACAAACGGTAGACGTCAACGCTCGCGACGGTCGAACTTTCTGAAGGTACGGAATATAGACGACTGAAGACTAGCACGGTGGCCGACTAGGTAAGATCACAGTTGGTAGCCAGACATTATACGTTGATACTGTCGACGTACGTGTTATCAATAGGTGCGCTTGCCTTGTCTAGGGAACTTGTTATCAGTAGATGTGCTCTTACTGAGTTAGGCAAGTCGCCCGTTTCGGTCAGGCTTTTGGGTTTAGTGAGGGTTAGGGTTCGGCGTAGGTTAAGTTTTAGGATTAGGGTTTTCGTTTTAGGGCCAGGTTTCAGTGTTAGGGTTAGGGTTTAGGTTCCCGTTAGGGTTACGGTTAAGGTTATGGTTAGGGTTAAGGTTAGGGTTAGGCTTGAGGTAGGGTTAATGTTATGGCTAGGTTTTGGATTAGCGTTGGGTTTTAGGATTTTGGTTACGTTTCGGTTTTGAAGCTTAGGATTAGGCTCCACGGTTGCTTTATGGGTTGGATTTTAGGGTTAACAGTTGGGTTTAACGTTCTCCCATTATTCCACCTGCTTAAAACTTCCCAGCACTTTCCCTGATAACTTTACTTTTACCCAGAAACTCCAGCATTCCTCTGCCAGCCCTTCCATTTACCCAACCCATACAACCCCATTTACCACCATTCCCGTACGATAGGGACCTGGCTGTCCGTCTCCCCATTCGTGGCTACCAACTGCGATCTAACCGCCAACTACACTCTCGGTCCATTTTACGCCTGCCATAATCGTGTTGGGCCACCAGGTATAACAAAGTTGACCTAGTGCATGACCTATTGAACTCATAGGTGCTATTTTAAGTCCCAGGCAGGGTGCGATCCAACTGGGGAGCAAATGGCTGACCTAAACAGGATAAATGGGTACAAAGCAGGCGATTCCTGGAGTAATGACCAAATAAAAATTTTCCAGTGGCTGCATTGCCGTGTGCCTCGATACTTTCTAGCAATCGTAGGAAGAAAAACGGCATATTTTATGGTGCTTTCGCTAAAACAGGCATGCTGCGACCCACCTTCCGACTAATTTCTGGATGTCCAGCATTGCCTGCAGCTGTTCAATATCGTCGTTCTCTGTCTGAACTTTTGCTGAGGACTTTTGGACCTTTTTCTGTTTTTTGGCGGTCTCCTTATCGATCCATTCTTCCATTTTCCTCAGGGATTCTGTACAACAACAGACAGCGGTTAGGCTTAGTCACAAAATGATTTTTATTACCGTTCTTGCAATAGTAGGAACAACGGTTTTCTCGACGGCTGACCACCTTACCTTGATTAGCCAGATTTCTGGACTGAGCAATTGCAAATGCGTGCTGATAGGCCTCCAGCCGACTGTATAACTCATTGTTCTCGGCATCAAGTGACGCGCACTTCCTTTGTAAGTTCACCATAAGAGTTGTCGTTGCAGCCTAGAAGGGAAGGAGTAAAAAGAACAAGTTGGCTTTTCTTCACAGGCCTGAGGGCGATTGCGGGGGGGCTGCGCGGGCACCCTACGTAGACCCAATTAAATTAAATGCAATAAAATAGCCTACTTAAAACAAACAGGTAGATGTAATTTACAGCAGTTAGGAATAGAGGGCGATCATTTGAAAGGAACTCAGTTACAGGTCGGACTTACCTGGTTGGGGCTAATAGCCCGTGAGTCCTCAGACTGGATGTCATCGGGCTCACTGCAGGCATAGGAGGATTCAGAGTCCTGCTGCGAGAGGTTTGAAATCAGTCGACGACGCTGCCTGGTATCCCGCACAGTTGGCATGGCACGCTGAACTGGTTCGTAGATTTCCGTCCGTATTTTCGATTCTGAATTAAAAGGCTGAGTTTAAGTAAATAAAACCTGACATGGTTTTTCTGCGAGAGCTCCAGAGCAGTTGCAAGAGCAGGACTGAACAGTAAGACGCGCTGTCTACAACTTAGTTATTCCTGAAATCCTTACTCAGTCGGCTTTAAGTGGCATACTAAAAGATCTAGGAGAGTTCGTCCACCACAGATAGCGAAGAAAAGCTCTCTCTCAAAGAGTATGCAATGCTAACTTGCGTGTGAATTGTTTATAGCAAATCGGGATTGCGCCACATCTACATAATTACATCTTCCCACACCAACTGCATTGCGCGCAAAGGGTGTGGACACAGTGGGTGCCAAAGCTAAACTACATATATGCGTGCCACACATGACCTAGTCCCTAGCTTCGTATTTGCCTTGCCTTTATGGTATGATATCCAATCGAACGTAAATGAGAGTGCCATAAAGGAAATAGGAATACGGAGACATTGCAGCCTGACCCACAGTTCTGAACGGGACCGAGTTATCTTGTCCGTTAACAGCCTTCCAAGCCGCAACTGTCAGAGACGTGCTGAATTGACTTCACCCTCTTCTTCCTCTCTTATGCACGACTAAGTTAACAGGAAAGGGAAGCAGACGCAGGCGGTCAATTTGATATGAAGTCGCCCAATGACAAAACACACACACACACACAGTAACCTTCATAAACACTGTAACGGTTAATATTAGATATTTTTGACGTACTTCTTTGTTGTATCTCAGTGAGCTGTTGGTTCTTCCTGGTTAGTTTATCGATCTCCTGAAATAAAGGAAGGAAAGAAAAGGTGTCGTAAAATTTATAAGTCGACCCGTGTTCACGCATTACTAGGAAGCATTAAGTGTTAGAAAACTGATACCTCGTGAAGACTGGCGATATCTGTGATTTTGGCGGCCTGAGAAAGTTTCTCAGCCTCCAGCTCGCTCTTAAGACGCTCAATCTCGCGCTGGAGTTGCAATTCCCTCGTAGATTCGACATTCGTTGGACTTGTCCGTCCTAAGTGCTCTGACTTTGAAACTGCACCATCTAGAGCTGACTGTTGCCCAGCTTCACATGTTGGCTCCATCTATTCAGAAAAGGGATGAGGTAGAGAAAGTCGGTGCCAGTGCACTTGAACGAATGCCAATCTTACTCCGAGGTTATTTTCGCTTGATTATCATCAAAATTTCGCTCTTTTGGTGCCGTGGGCGACAAAACCTGTGTTGGACAGCGAGATGGTATATGTCGTGGTGGCTTGTTTAAATGCACAGCTTACTCGATATTGATCAAAATCACGCTCCGCCTTTTTAAGAATTTATGGGGGTCTTAGATACAGTCAGCCGAAAAGTTTGTCGTATTTACGCAGTAAAAGTTGTGCTTAGTGGGCGTAACAAAACTCCAACGAGAATGGTTAACAAAATGACGGGGAGGGATAGCGTATCACTTGCTTCACGATTGCTTAACTTTACAAACCGCCAACATCACTCCGTCAACTGTTTTAACTTGTCAACACTGCCTACTTGTGTATATTCAGTAGGCATAATATTAGGTTTTACAAGGCGTCGGAGGACGTCAAGCCAGTTGCTGACGAACCACGACAAACCTTGTTTTGCCTCGGAGGCCAGAGTCTCGAGAGCACGGAGGCGATCGTTTAATGACCAACGATCAATAATCTAGAAGTGTCCTTGTGGTCTGCCGGTAACACCTCTCGCCTGCCTGACTTATGTAGGTTTAATGGTAGTGAAAATGCGATTCCCAGGTGGCATATCAAAGGATGAAGAGGCGTTCACCGGTGAACGCCTCTTCTTCCGTTGTTATGTAGGTTTATTGATTTCGTCGTAGGATTTTTGCAGCACACATGTAGCTATTCCTGTAGGGTTCATTGTATAACTTTTGGAAAAGTGGTCCTAATGGGTAAAGCCAATATGGACTCCCTCTGGTCTAAATCGGGATTGGGTCGATAATCTTTGGTGACTTTCGTAAACCGGTCACGTTTCCTTGCAAGTTGCACAAGAAATCTGTATCTGGGTTAGATTCCAGATCGTGGTACACTCGTTGCTCTCACTTTCGCACAAAAGCTCTAAAATAAGGTTTCAGGTGAAGAAAACGGGCAGTTGCCGTCGGACAACACCAGTACTTCAACCACATAGACTTGCGACATGCATGTGTCGTTCAGGCCCATCCACGATCAAATAGTTCAGATGGAAAACCTTTTAAACTATAGTTGCATACAAAATAGGGCACTAAGAATTCCGAGGAATCTAAATGATCCACAGTACAGGACTACAGGACGCGTCGGTGGAACAAATTCTCTTAGCTGCATGGTCTACCGCCTGACTGACGTATCATCGCAAAACGTGGATGCCCAGAAGGACTTGGGTGCGTAAATCACAACTTCGCCCAAGCCTTCGCTGCACTGCTCAAACATAGCCAAATCGGCAATGTCCATCCTATGCCTCGTCAAACTTGCGTTCTCTTCCTTTGATGAAGACTGCTTCGCTTAGGTCTTTCGAACTTTTGTGTGGCCGCATCCAGAGTTTGCTATCAGAGCATGGAGGCTTTGGACCGTTGAAGACCTACGCATACTCGAAAAAGTCCAACGGCGGGCAACAAAACTTGTAGCTGGACAAGGCTCACTACCCTACGAAACACTATTAACTAATCTTGATCTCTTTCCTTTGAGTTACAGGCAGCTATGAGGTGACCTCGTACAAGCTTTCTGCACCCTACGTGATCAGGACTACTGCATCGTATCTGGAGACTTCTTCGAGTTGGCGACTTCGACTAACGTGGGGGGTCATTTGGCCACACCACGTGTGACCGGTGCCAAGCTAGACACACGAAAGTTCTTCTCCAACGGAGTGGATGAAGTTTGGAATGCTTTGCCTGAAGATTTTGTTATGTCTGCATCCGTAGAAACCTTTAAAAGGAAGGTGGGTCAACGTTGTAGTGCGCACCACAATGCCATACGACTGCTATCGTTTTGATACCATACGTTAACAATTTGTTAATTTTATGTTGCTACTGTATTCTTTTAGTAACGTTTGTTATGCACTTTGTTAACGCGCGAAGTTTGGCACTACTTGCATTCACCGTGACGTTTGCATACCACGGATCAAATTACTTTCTCCGTAGCTTTTGTGTGCCTCAAATAACTACTGCATTACGCATTTAAGCGAGTACATATTCCTCCCAGTGCTGTTAACGCGTAAAAAACTTTGTTTATATGTACAGCCTTTACTGTTTTCTTTGTAGTTCTTTGGTGTTACTCTCTTTCCATTTTTTCGCTACTTCTGCGTGTGACAAATGGGGATTTCAAGGGCGCACACCTACGTTCCCTCAAATAAACTGAGCTGAAATGAAATGAAGTTTAAAAAGCCGCGTTTAACTATCAGAAAACCGGCTTTGAGTGTTTGGTTGCCAGTTGAAATAAAAATTAACAATCTTTCGCTCACCCGAGCTGTCAGTTCTTCTTGCCTTCTCCTTTCTTCAAGTCTAAAAATATGTAATTTCATCCACGTAAGTAAAACATAAGTTGAGTGATGGGTATTGACTTGATTCTGGAGCAAGAATCTAGAACGAGTCTTGTAGGCTTACAGTAGGGCTTCCTGTCTTTGTTGAATCAACTCCATAACATGTTTTCGAGCCAGGTATCTACGGGCCAGGTTCTGCAGACGCCGAATCCAAACTCGAATCAGTCGCCATCGTTGTCGGGCCAACCAACCCCGAAAGACTGTCTGAATCAGGGTTCCCGCCCGCACTAACTCCTCCGTGCGCAGTCGCTCCATATTGGCGAGGACCCCTGCGGAGAAGAAGATTTTTGTCTTTCCAAGACGATAGCAATGTTCATTCTGTGTGGAGAAGACAAAACCAGGGACTAATAGTTAAATCCACGTGTCCGAACCCCGGTTAGGACAGGAAATGGAGATTACGCCACTCTGGGTGGTTTGTCAGAATGGCGTGAAATTGTTTATTATATCATGACCCCCCACTCTACACTGCTCTTCAACCAACCACCCGCCAACAGTTTAAGGAGCAATACACTTACTGCTTTTTTTCTACAAGTCAGTAGACGTAACATTTCCTAATGTTAAATTTCAACAAGAATCCGTCTTTTGTGACGGTGAAATTTCGTGGTCGTTTCCGATATGTCTGCTATCAGCAATCGGTCATACCCAATCCCAATGCTCGAACCCGGCTTCAGTTGGTGAATGGGCCAGACACTCCACTAGTTGAGCAAGGAGCTCACGGTCGATCGGATATTGTCGGGAATAATTGAGGTCACGTTGGACGTGGACCGTGATTCAGTTTGCAGTTCTTCCGAAAAAAGGGGGGGGGGCTAAGCTCGCAAACAAGAGCACTGAAGGGAAGCATCCTCATCTACTGATAAACTTCCGTGAACTTAGTGCAGATGCGACACAAGTGGTGATAACACCGTCAAGTATTGTTGCTAGTCTTTTGAAGAAAACTTTCGCAATTCATGTTGGTGGGGGGTGCAAGGGCAGACAGCTTTATCCTAACACTATGCCTAAACTCCTTGTGGAGAAAGGTAGTAAGTGACACCCAACCTAAGTGACATTTGGTTACTTTCTCTGCGTCGAGCCTTCCGGAAAATGTCCCTGGCCAATCGTAAACTTTCTGCGCGGACGGGCAGGATGTGTAAAGTGATGCCTCAAAGTTGTCGAAAAAAGCACTAATTAAGCCAACGGAAGCCCAGAGAAGAAGGTCGACTTACCGGGATGTATTTTTGTAGGATGAGCTTGCTCGTCTCCTTTCTGTCGTTTCGGTTGACCAACTTCCAAGAGAGCAGAGGTCTGTAGCGATCGAAGAAGTCCTGATAGGACCACCTATGGACAGAAGTCGGAGGGAGGCAAACCTTAACCAGAGCACGAGCAAGCAATAAGGGAATATCCCCTGAGCTTGGGTTCCACACACGAGAAATCAGCAGAGGTAGAGGCGTTGCCGAGGAGGAAACCTTAATGATGGTTGGGTTTTAACTCACTGGTGGTCCCTTGACTAGCGTTCTCAGTTAACGTTTCCTTTTGATTACAGCATTGTATCGCAGCCTAGACTGGACGACGTGCATGTAAGAGGGCTCGACTAACGTAAATTCATTCCCACCGCTATTGAATCCCCCTAGGTTTGCATTAAAATCTCCTCTTCACAATGAACTCTCCTGTTCTTTTTAAGAGGAATACGAGTGTCCATGATATTGCTAGTCGAAATACATGGGTGAGATTCAGAGAAGATCGCTGGAATAGCATGCGTAGTTGCCCTGTTCAACTTCTTCCTTTAGCCCACCGGCGACCGTTAAATAATGGGGGGCAAATAAGAAGGACGCAAGGTGGTCAAAGCATAAAGCCACCGGAAGCTGGTGATCAGCCTTACGCGTACAGACAACTAAAAGATGATGCTAGCCGTTTAATACCTACGAAGGTGGTGTAAAGGCTGATTCGCATTCCTTACGGTTCCCTGAGATAATCATACTGCGAAGCTTATGTAGGCCCCACTACAGTGCTTCTGGAATCTGTGCCGAGTATCTCTGGAGGTGCAGCCAGTCGACTGAGTAGAGGATGATAAGGGGCTTTACAGACGAGTCTGGGAAGAGAGATACCACGGAGGTCGACACGCATTTTTAAGCTATCTTATCACGATTCGGTCTTGTATCTACATCCAATGAAACAAGGAGATTGATAAAGCTAGAAGCTGGAGGACACTCTGTTTGTAAATGTCAGCAAAAACTAAGTCCCATTCCGGGAATTTGACGCCGAACGTCGGCTACTCTGACCCGATAGTCTCCCACAGGGAAGGCAATAGATGAGGCTCATTGTTGGTTTCTACTTAGAAGGGCCCATTGACGACCTTCTTCCAGACACAAGAGGACATTTTGGTATGTTCGACCACCCCATGCTTCAGAGTCTGTGACTTTTCTGACAACAGAGTGGCTCCACCTCAACTGAACAGCGGTGTACTTGTGGTGGACTGAGGACCGCAGTCGGTCTTGACAACCGTGAAGAAGTTCCTCACTTCGCCAAGATCGTCGTCCTCTTGGACTTTCTGGGCAGTCCGAATCAGTCAGTAGGTCTGAATCACTAACAGCTTCTACTGCAGCCGGCATTGGCATCGGGGATGGTGACAATGCCAGTTGCGGCGTGATCTTCTTCTTAGGTCCTGTGTTGCTGAATCTTCTCAGACCCCAGTTAGCGTATCTCTCCGTCAGTAAACCAGTTTTGGTGGTGTTTGTATAAAGCCCCGAAGATTCTTGAAGCAGCATTATAGACAACGTCCCTCATTTTTTTTTTAGATTTCTACGTTGTTTGGGACCTACAATCGCTCCAAACTTAAATGCACCCTTCCGGTGAGGTCCTGCTGCGTTTGCCGTTGTGTAGTTTCTCCAATGCTGTCTTGTCATAATGCCGTGCTAGAGGTTGAATTCCAACCTTATCATCAAGATAGCTAGGCGGTCGTTCGTCCAGCATACGGAACCACTCGTTGTCGTCATTTCAAGCACGTCCCGTCGGTCTCATCTCTTACGGCAGCCAGTGACGTAAGCAAGGGTGATTCCAGGTATTCTTGGAGGCTGAGCATGCGGAAGGAGGTATTCCAAGCAGGTCCTTAACAGTCGAAAACTCCTGCTTTTGAGGTTTCCTTTTTCGTGATGGTTGAGAGCCTCCTCCAGGTATCGTGGTTTGAGCCTACCCATACCCCGATGTCTCCGAAGACCAACTCGTCTGTTTTGGTCACAGAGGCGAGGGAGTGCAGTTCCTTGTGGAACTTGTCTTTCACGACCTCATTTTTTGGAATTATCGGAGTGCGGGCGCTGATCATGTTGGCAATTCTGTTAACTCGGATTGGAACCCCAATTATGATGAAGCGGTTATTGATGTCCAGCGGGAGGGTCAAGGTCGATTCAGATCTCGGCCGATCGGAGGTGTTCCTCCTCCTATTTAGTTGGTTACTGCGTCATCCAGAAGAGAATAGGCGTTTCGGATTGCTAGAGCGAACGATGTTTCTCGGGCAAGACAGGGGTGGGGAGGAGCAACGCTTCTGTCTTTCTGTGTCTTGGCAGCGTGTGTTACTTCCAGTCCCTGAATGACCTTAACTGGCATTCGGTTAGGACACCTCTTTTAGTCCCTTCACTCGTGAAGGATAGAGATAGCGCGGCCCGAGGAAAGACTGCACGATCATCCACGAAAGCTGTCTAATTTCATTGACTCACAGCTCGCGTAGTTATGAAAGGCCTCGCATTCACCTTAACTGCATATGGGAGGGTACTGCTGATCACCTCCGGCAAAGTCAGGATTTATACTCGGTCTCCTTTACGGAAGCTGCCTCCCAAGTTAATAAAGAACCCCGGGGACCACCTAGTCCTCTCTTGCTTGTTCGCGTGCCTTGGAGGGTAGTTTATTCCCACCTGAATATCCTAATAACTTATGTGCATTTTTACATGATCCAAAGCCATTCCGGTAGTTTTGACGGAGAATGAATTTCTACGAGGGGAGTATTTTTAACTGTTCGCTCATTGCCAGCCGCGTGGATATTGGAATGACATTACCGACAGAGACCAGGGAGACTGAAATGATCATCTCGGGATTATTAGCTATCGCCGGCCAGCCATGCTTAACCCCGAAGTGTGGAACACCTGGGGCCAGATCCTGCGATCTGTTGGTTAGAAGTCCAAAACCCCCAACCACTGAACCGCGGGCCCGTTGTCCTGTCGGTTTCGATTGGGACGTTGGGTTTTTAACCAACAGGTCGCGGAATAGTGTCCCAGGTGTTGCACACTTTCGGGTTGGGTGTGACTGGTTGAAGACAGCTAATGAGCTAGAAATGGCCATTCCAGTCTTCCTTGTCTTTTTTGGTAATGTCCTTCTGCCTATAGTACGCGCCGCTGTGCAGATACTGGTTGGGCTCGAGAGAGAGAGAGGGTTCCAAGTCACAACGGGATGAGTGAGTTCCGTAAAACGATCGGTGAGCAGCCTTCTATCACTGCGTGGATACTGTTTATTTAGATAACTTCTGCAAACTGCTGATCAATACAATAATAGTTACTCAATGTTTTGACAGATAATTCATTTTAGATTAACTGTGAAAAACTCGGCGCCTCGGTGGGATTTGAACTCACGACAGCAAGGGAAGGTTTTAATACAGCCAATGCTCTAACCACCCACGTTATGAGGCTCTACCCGGAGCCGAGAGTTTTGTTACATTTGGATCACGTTACCCTCTTAACGTCTGGAATCTACAAAATCTGATATAGTAATCTGACCACCCAAACATGATTTCCTGAGTAATCAATCTAGAATCCACCAGATGACTACCAGGCTCACTGTTGGGTTAAATGAATTATTCGAAATCTGCCAAAACGCCTTTTGATTACGTGAGCCTGGTAGTCATGTGGTGGATTATAGAGTGATTACTCGGGAATTGCTGTTTGGGTGGTCGGATTACTGTATCAGATTTGATAGATTCCAGACGTTGCAGTAGGTTGGACGGGTAATTTGATCCAAAGCACACGGCTCCCCGTGGGACCTCGTAGGTCAGGTGGTTAGAGCGTTGGCTGTACTAATGCCTTCCTCTTGCCGCCGTGGGTCCAAATCCCATAGAGGCGCCGAATTTTTCAAAGTACAATCAAAATGAATAATAATGGTTAGTATCATGACAGATGTTTATACCGCCCTCCTTACATCGGTACAAGCTAAAAGTCCAGGAAAGTGTTTTGCCGATGTTTATGCTGTTTCCTGATGCAGCAGCGATAGGTTCGGCTCCTCACTGAATCCCCCAGTGTTCTGTATACGGTTTCTAGTAATATTATACTGTCGTACCGCCCAGCACACCACAGTAGGTGACACTCACTAGGCGAGACCTCCCTTAATAGTACAAGAACACGCACTGTAGATAGCTGAATAATCGAGGGCAGGCAAAGCTATCATCTCCCCCTGTTACCACCGTTAATGCCAACCCCCTACGTCCGCCGAACGTTGCCCAATACGGAACCAGACTATACAGGCTTGCCGGGCCCCTGCGGCCATTGTGGAATTTTCGCCGTAGCTGCTGTGAGACTCGGAGTGTACACCCGCGCACGCACTCAAGCAACCGCTTACGTATTTTCACAAATAACAACAAAAACAGCAAACAAAAAGCAGGGACATTAACCAAAATATGGCAACCTTACTGGGTAGGAAAGCCGGCAGCGCTAATTTTGATGGTCTGCAGGATACCGCAGGCTCGCAGCTGCTGAACAGTTCTCTGAGGCGACAGACTAATAGAAAGGTGGAGGATAGGAAAAAGGAAAATTGAGTGAAATAGAACAAAAAGACATATGTTGAGTCTAATAATCTAACAGTAGTGTTACACCTGAACCTTGTGGATGGATTACTCGAGACGCGCATTGTTCGCGTAATCACGTCATCAGCATGATGGCACCCGACTTTCTATCCCTCTGTTATTCTAAACAGCCTGACATCCAGGCCTTCGACGAGATCTCGACGACTCATCTTTCCCCATTGGCAGCCTCAAGGCCATGTGAGCCCTCGAACAACTGAATACATGAAAAAGTCCACTTCCAAGGTCGGCAGTGAAAAATTAAACCCAGAAAGGGCTGGGTTTGTGTGTAATATAGCACTGTCAGCATGACTTGAATAACAAAATGTGGGCTAGGGGGTCTGGACCGCAAGAGTGAACCCAATTGCAAACAAAAACGATAAGCAGCAGAGCGGGGGAGGGGTGAAAGCTTACAGAAAGGCGGCCTTCTGGTCGTTGGGTTTGATACAACGCACGTAATGGGCCGTTGTGTTATCCAGCGTCTCCAACAGTTGTTTCAGAGAATCTGAAAACTGGAAGTGCAAATGAGGCGCGTCAGGGCTACGAGGGAGGACAGTTAGATGGAGGGAAGGACGCTACCGCTATTAGATGCATCCGTCCCTACACCTGAGGACGGTGAATAAAAATGTTATTCTGTTCCCGACACTAATAATAAATCCTACAGGCAAATAAAGGAAATAATACACTGAGACTTTAGCTATACATTTACACAGAGGAAGACGGCACTTATCATATCACATATAACAAAGCAGATAATGGAATGGGCAGAATGATCTTCATATTTGCTTTCGGAATGTCGAGTTATTGAAAATTTACCCAAAGTCGCTAGTCGTTTTTAAAGATCGTCATACTAATATATCGGGTCAGACTCTGTGGACCACAGCTGTAGGTACTATCAGTGAGTGGCGCGCAGTAGTTAAACGTGATTCGGAAGCGAATACTGTTCAGAATCCCAATAAGCTGACTTCATTTTGAACATGAAGACTATTTAGAACTTCGATAGCTGCTTTTTGAGGGTCTACGTCCAATACGACTGACTGACTTATTATACTGTCACCATGTTACTACCGGTATGTCAGTAATAATATACTGCCTAGATCATGCGTCGCTGTGCGGCTGCTGGTTGGGCTCGAGAGAGAATTCGTAAGGCACAACGGAACGAGTGGGTTCCGTAAGAACGATCGGTGAGCGCCTTCATAACAAACAAAAGTGCTGTGCAGACCACAGTACTACTGAAGTACAATTTGGTACTATTGGTCAGGCGTGTCTAGGCGCTTGATTATTAGACTGAAAGTGGATTGCAGAAGGCTAAGCAACCAACCTGAGTCGCCACCGTTGGCTGTCGCAGGACACCGTCGTAACTGGCCCCTTTGTCGTTCTTTCGCGCCAAGGGACCTGCGTGATTCCCTACAGGCTGCACCGTTCCGAGCATCTCCAGCAGCAGTGGGTTCTTGAAATCGGAACAAGTCCTGTCAGTTACGGCAGCTTACTATTGACCAACAGGTCAAGAAAATTATCTTTATTTTAATCACAATAACTACCTCACTTTAGAACTCAGAGTATTTTCAACAGAAAAAAGACATCCTGATGATGCTCCCATGTTACACCTGAAACGTCAAGTCAGCAAACACGTGTTTCGGGTACTTAATCAACAGGCCCATACAGCCACGTAGAGATTGAAAACATGAGAAGTTGACAGGATTTATAAGTGTCTCGTGGGTTATTAATACTCATCGTTCCCACGCTGCCCGCATTAAGAGGTCGACGTCCTGTGGTCATTGCGACTGGGGGAGGGGGGGGAAAGAGGTAGGATATAAGCTATGTTTGTAGGTTGAGTACGCGGTGTGTACATCATTGTCATCAGGAAGTTCGGGGCGACGTGCGATCAGCAACTGAAGCCGGTATTGGCCACGGAAGACAGAACGCTTGTACCAAAGTCTTATGTCACCTTAGTGCTGGATTCGCTAGCCGCATAGCCACTGCTCAATTCTCGCTATCATTCATCGGAGTGGGCCTTTAGAGAAGTTTGTTGGTTTACTGGCATCGACTCGGCGGTTCGTATTCGTCGGGTGTGCGAAAATAGAAATCAACATCGGTCTGTTTTCGGAGGTATGTGTTCACGTATCTTTTTCACAGGTGCTCCATTGTACGGCCAATGTATCTCGTTTCACAGGATCAGGTGAATAAGTAAATGTCCATCAATGTGGCCTGCGACGGTAGTCTGCCCTTACCTCCCATGCATAGAAAGGGAGAGTTTGCGACTAATACGCGTTAGCTCGTCGCGGGGCAAGCACTCAAGATCGACGTCTTACTAGTTCGCCTGCTGCGTCCCCCCAGAAAAGGCAGTTTATTAAAGAAGTCTTCCTGTTGTGCATTTGCGATGGCAGGCTATGTGGTGCGCTTCCCAACATTGGAGAGGATGGGATGGATGGAGGGTGACCGTTTTCGCGAAGTGCGTTCTGCAGTTGCTGGGGCCCTGCCTCAACAGTTTCGGGAGCGCAAATGCGCCTCAGACTTGGCGCCAATCTCTGGACTAAATTTCGTCTTATTTTTAAGGGAACAAAACTGCGATAATTGATGTGTGGTCCCATTCAATTTTCTTTTTGGAATACCCTACGCTTGTGCTTGAGCAGAAGGACATCGAGAAACGCAATTTCGTTATCCACCCCAGGCTCCGCAGAAAACCTCAGAGAGGTGCGCACTGTTAGGCTTCCGGGCCAGGGCGTCGGCGCCAGTGGTATGATCTGGCAGGCAGAAGATGTCGTCCACGCGCCGACTGTAGATGTCGAGGCCATTAACGGTATCTCGTAAACTTGTTTTCTCGACCGTTTGCGATAAACAGCCCAGGCAGCGAACACCACGCCGCAGCATATGTTTGCCTCTATAGCTGGCCGTTGCAGAGAAACTGAACAATAGCCACCTATACGGGCAGATGGGCCCATTTTATCGGTTTCGCTACCTCCCGCATACCAGGCATCGTCCTATTTTAATCGAAAACATGGCTTGAACCTTGCTGACTGGAAGTGAGCAATGGTTGGTCAGCAAAGACGAAAGTGTTACGCATGCCTCAGATCTCGATATATGATTTACTTTGTGTTATGAATAGAATCACAAGGCATGGACTTGGCTGAATCAAGATTCCACTGGCAGTAAGGAGTGCACCGATAATTCACCGATTTAAAAGGACTACATTTGCGTACAATAAATAAACAAAAATCGATCATCCACGATATGCGGACATATGAACAGCAATGACAGTCCAAGAGGTATGGCTAACAGCTAAGTGGAAATCTTCGAAAAGACAGATTTCAACTGGGGTTTTGCTTGCAGAAAAAAGTCCTTAAAATTCTGCAGAATATCAGGATAGAGAGAGAGGGTGGGTAATGGACTCCACCCAATCTTTCACAGTCCTTAAAATAGACTTCACCTCGTAGTTCACGGATGCAAAACGTGTTCCTCTGTAGGTGTAAGATTGTTCTGGCTTAAGACGCAACTACTGCGTGAAGAGTCGGTAAGCTGATCTACCGTTTCCTGCCGAGCGCACTCAACAGGAGCGGAAGTTCAAATATATAGAAAAATACGGCCCGTTTTTTCGTGTTTTTACGGTTTCCAGTTTGTTTTGGGCGAACTTACAACGATGGTGTCCACATAATTTTGTGATGCACTACTTGGGGACAGCTCGGCTCGCAGAGACATCGGCATATATATGGAACAACTAATTGTTAAATATTTTTTTTACAAAATGTGGAGGGAGAGAGAAAAATACAGCTAGAAAATGTGCGTGCCAGACAAGATCGAACAGCCGACATGCCATTTATGTTACGGGAACTACGTCTCCGAGTTACGTCGGTCGCATCCGTCAGTTAAACAAGTAATTACTATTCGCTTATCCATGATTTGCAAGACAATCCTATTATTCGTCCAGAGAGAAGGTTGTTACCGGATTGCAAAGCGAACCTAGGGAATTCAGAGGTAAGGCGGTTGTATTCAGGTAAGAGTGAAGAAGAAGAGGGTTCGAGCACCGGAACATTTTGTTTAATGTCCTGAGCTTTCAAACTCGTGCAGGATTCCTACACGAGACCGAAAGCTCAGGACAATAAACAAAATGTTCCGGTGCTCGAACCCTCATCTTCTTCAGTTATACATACACCTGGAACTCGGAATTTCGCCTTCATTCGTCAGGTAAGAGTAGGTAAAAATAGAGCTAACGACACGGGCGAAAAGGCGAGTCTCAGGCAGTAATTGGGAAGAATACAGGTTCGTTAGAGAGGAATGTTAATCGACTGACATTTCGAATTCGCATTCGAACAAATCACTAGTGAGGGCGGCCGCTAATGGTAACAGATGCAGGCGACCAAGCAATCATTGCAAAACAACTACGCCCCTCGTGCATCCACTATCCTTATCTGTTTCCGTCACCGATAGCAGATTCTAGCGCGACCCTGAAACGTCAGACGAGCAAAATTCGTGCGCCAGCGATAGTGTTTCCTTCTTCTCGAACACCGAACTGTTGGCGTCCCAGGGAAGACGAGCTCCAAATATGGCGGCAGCGGTAGCGGAGGGACCCCCATTTGTTAGACTGCAATCCGGCTGAGTGAATATCAGTGGGGCAGATGAGTAGATCTGTCTCTGAATTATGCATTAGAGAACCTTCCAGAAGGTATTAAGGATTTATTTCCACCGATAAATATTCCGTCTTTTGCCAGTAGTAAGATTTCAACAAGACTTGACCTTCGACAAAACGGCCGTAATAAATGAACAGCTGGAAAACCACGCTGACCGAATGTAATTACGGAAGATCGAGGGCAAGGATGCATACAACCTAGGTAGAAACGTACTTCAAAGAAGGAGCAGGCCCGGATGCATGGAGGAATTTTAAAGATGAAGGCAGTAAGCTGCAGTGGGCTACCTGATTTGAGACACACATGGCTCTATTGACCACTCCCGAACCAGGCTACAC